GAGATATCGCAATATCTGAGCACGCTTTACAGGACTCAAACCACGCGTTAGACGGCGACGAGGACGCTCAGGAGGGTATCTATAAGCTCCGGGGATTGCTTCGTTTGCTGGAGGTTGGGGTGCAGAGGATTCTGGAGAGTTGGTCGCCTCGGATGCCATTTTTTCTGCGATACGGGGGTAATCTCGATATCGGCACAGACATAGGCTATAATTTCCTAATTAGAAAGTCAGAAGAACCTCAGATATGACAAATTCAGTAAAAAATCGATGGGATTTGGTGAGAAAAATCAGTATTTTGGTGGTTTGGAGGGCTTCCGATACAAAAGTTGCAATTTTTTTGAGGTTTTTGGGGTGCCAAGACTGCACCAAATTTTGCATAACGTAAATCCGTATTCGGTAAGCGGACTGCGTCCAGTCTTGGCATATTTGTTTGCGGAGCTGGACAAACTCCGAATATTCCGCCCGCTGCAATTGCAATTGCAATTGCTTCACTTGAAGCCATTATTTCTCTGTCTGGATTGACAGGATACTGATATTCGTTTTTGAAGTTACTGCAGCTGCAGCCATGGCGTCGTTGATATGAGAGCTTTTCTAGCTAGTACTGTGCGACTTGGCTATGTGAATTGAAGTGAGCTGCCTAGCTTCTGACAGGCACATTCCGACGGGCTGCATGATATTACATTATTTACTTCAGGTGATAACCTAGATTCGGGCTGACATCCAGGAATATTCTATTCGGCCCAGTGCAACTGAATTCTAATAGTTCACTTATTATGACGACTGCTCATGGCGAATCCGTCGTGTCTGCGGGCCGCTGCCCGCAACCTCTCCTCCTCCCTCTTCCGCAACTCGACCAGTCGGTCTGCTCGCTTTGTACGACACCATTCCTCCTCGCCCGCGTCCTCTGTCTCGGCAGATGAGCTTTCGCATTTCTCAGGACTCGCCAGCAGCTGGTGGGATCCGATGGGTCCGTCGCGGGTGCTGCACCTGATGAATCCTCTCCGGCACGACTTTATCGCCGAGTGTCTGGCAGAGTCTTCCCCCGCGCCGCCGCGCCAATTGTCGCCGGAAAAACAGAATGGTTCAGAAGCGTCGTCGGAGGGACTGCGCTATCTCGACGTGGGGTGCGGAGGAGGCATTTTCGCAGAGTCCCTCGCGAGGACGATACCGCTGAGCCGGTCGTCGTCGTCGTCTGTATCGCCCACGAATGCCGCGTCCATCCTCGCAATTGACCCGTCCTCCACCCTCATTAAAATTGCCCGCGATCATGCCCGCATGGATCCGGCCATCTTCGAACATATGCGCTCGGGGCGCTTCCGGTATGAGAACACGACCGTCGAGGCGCTGTCGGAGCAGTCTACGGAAGATACGAGCAGTGCATCATCATCATCATCTCCTGCTGCTGCTGCTGATCGCACCTTTGATGTCATCACCCTCTTCGAAGTCATCGAGCACGTCGACCCAAAGACCTCCCCGCTTACCTTCTTGAAACACTGTCTCCGACTGCTTCGCCCAGGGGGATGGCTGATCGGGTCCACGATCGCGCGGACGGTTCCGTCGTACGTGGTCAACAAAGTCGTGGCCGAGGCGCCGTGGCCGATCGGGGTGGTGCCGCGGGGCACGCACGAATGGAGCAAGTTCGTCAACGCGGACGAGCTCCGCGGCTGGGTGGAGGAGGCGCTGATGAGGGCCAAGGATGGCACCGCACGGAGAGCAGGCAGCGAGGCGCTCCAGGGGATGAAGTGGAAGTGTGCGGGTGTGGTCTACATTCCGGGCTGGGGGTGGAAGATGGTGAAGGGGGGGGAGGACTGGGGGAATTATTTCTGGGCTGTAAGAAAGGGTGTATAGCACTTTGAACAAACGCTACAGGATTACTGTATGTACTGTACTGTACTATACTTTATAGAATAGCTCATTCATGGTTCATGCGCTCGGGCTGACAACTCCTTGGAAAAGAATGTGGTTGTAACTATCGAAGCCTGCATTCGCTATATTGCCATAGGCCCATAAAAGAGATCGTTGATTGTGTTGAGCTGAAGAAGAGGACTGGAACAATATCAACAATGCCATGACAACAGAGAGAGGGAGAGCTGAAAAGAAAAAGGGAGGAGTCAGTCCTTCAGGAAGTGCTTATTAGGTATAGCCATCAGATAGAATTGTTTCTGCAGTCCTGGAGACGGTATCTTAATCAATCTGAAGCCTGACTCTAACAGATGTCCTTGTCTGTGAAGAGACAACAACACCTTTCTTTCTTGCATGTCGCACCTCACGGCACAGTTCCTTTTTTTCAGCACGCTGGAGAGTGGAGTAATATAGACTCGAAGGATGGGATGATACGGGTGAGACACTACTGATATGAATCATATAATATAGGCTGTAAGGTGTGGTGGGCACAAGAAAGAAGGTTGTAAAGCTGCTAGCAACTTGACGTCAACACTGGCAAGTAAGTGGTGGACGTTGAATTGAATCCAAGGATGCCACGCAGTATCTATCTGCTGATTTGACTTTCCCTTGCTTTAACTGCCAAAAAAAAAAAGAGGATAAATGGTGCTCAAGACATTATTATATCATTGACAGTTTGACCTTGCTGTTTGTGGTGTATGGTTTAGGACTCAGTCCTTATTTTTTTTCCCAAAAAAAGGAGACCAGGATATCTTATTTTAATCTTAATCTTGAGCAATGTGTTATGCTGTCAAGCAATTGTGTGTACTCCGTAAACAGCGATGCTCCTTCTAAACTACCTAGCTAGGTATTGAAAGGACGGCCCATGCTTCAATAATGATGGACCTTCCACTGCTTCCACACGTGATGTGTGGAGGAACCGACTAGGCACATACATAAGGTAAGGTATGGCCATCCACGCGACACAGAGCTTACTTCTCATATTCCACACGGATGTACTCCATACTCTGTTAAGTAAGTCTTGGTTGCAGGGACCAAGAATAAGATATCTACCTGTCTAGAGAGGCGGACCGAAATTACGAAGGAAAGCTTAAAAAAATAGTAATAATAACAATAATTAAAAAAAATGAAAAGTGAAAATGAAATTAATCATAGCAATAATAACCTTTACGGAGTACTCCGTAATAATAAAATCAGTGGGTCAGAAAAAAAAGATCCTTCTAGAAGACGCGTAGAACGATTTTAGTGTCGTAGCCCCCTGTCCTAAATCTCCTAATATTGAGTAGGCACCTACCTATTACTCCGTACTCCGTATTCCCAATTTCTCCGTAGTGTGAATCGGTAGTATATACTAGTATTAGTGCTGGACTAACTACCTAAGTAGCCTATTACTCCGTGCATACGTACCTCTGCATCGCGGCTAGTAGCTGGACTAAGTACGGAGTACAGTAGCCTAAGAATCTTTGTTGAATGTTGAGGCGGTGAATATTTATTAGTCTACATCAAGACTGGGACAAGAGAGCTAGTTACTCATTATTAGCGACTCTGTAGAAATGTACTGCACTTTGTACTTGAGGAAATTTGTTTGTTTACTCTTTACACTTTTTTCCCACTTAGAAAAAGGGGTGGTGGGAGGGGATGCAAGGGTAAAGTAATAAAATTGATGCATCACGATCCACCCTACATGATCGTCTTCGACCTAATTCATTGATCGATGACTTGCTGATTCATATACAGAGTACTCCATACTCCGTATTCTATTCTTTCTGCATCTGCTACTAGTTTAATTTGTACAGATCACGAGGTGACTGGACTGCTGAGTCGAAAAGTTCTTGTCTGACAGTACTATTATACAGAGTATGGACGCAGCCGTGGCCAGCCCTGTAGGGCTCAAGGGCTAAGGCACAGACACGACAGACAGGTCAGGCTCCGGGTCTGCCGGCACATCATGACGGAGTTACGTAGGGCACTCCCGTGCGTCACGGGGCGTGCCTCAAGGAGAGTGCTGGCGGGGGCCAAATCCGAGGCTAGACTCGTGAGTGGTGCGTTGCGGCGAGTCGTGTGATGCGGGCCCACCCACCCCTGGCGATCGACAGGCTAGTGTGCTCCATGGAAGGCCGCTAGAAGGCTTCTAGAAGGCTTCTGGAACGCCGGCTGCTGGGCCACGGCCCAATGCGCTGCGGTGGGCGGCTGCGCAGGGTTCGAAACCAGGCTAATGCACGCCCTAGCAAAGCGTGCTCAGCCCATCCTGCGCCCAATCCTTGCCCTTGCCATGCCATCATGCCATGCCTCTCGGACGGCCCGACCGTGGAGTCATGCCCTGCCCCTTTCAGCCTCCCGTCCGGCCTCGTGGAAGAGGTGGACAGAGCGCAACGGTGATCCAGAAGGCAGGCCGCAGATCTGGAGGGGGGAATGGCCCCCAAATACTCCGTACAAAAGAAGATAAAAAAGAAAAAAAAAGGGAAATGCAATCACGAGTGGATGCTTCCCATCCTGACCGCAATTCGAAATTATCCGACTGTCGTGACGTGTGAAGGACGATCTGTCATGACCACCCGGGATGATCTCGTACCCCTATTCTCGATGATCTCGGGTTCGGTCCGATCAAGGATAGCCTTCTAGAACGCTGCGGGATTCCATGACGCTATGGTCCATCCCTCCCAGATCGATCCGCACGCGCCACTGCTGTCGTATTTTGTCATCGTCCTCAACACCCCTCAAGGTTCAACATCCCCTTTTTATGCTGACAAATACGCCATACAACACCTGGGTATTTCTATTTGTCGCAAGCGCTGTACGAAACTCGTAGGCTGCCACGAACTGCTGGATCTCTCACACGAGGAGACTGCCAGAGGCTGCGTTGGGCTGCTGACCAGAGCGGGCTCCATCCCTGTTCGGAAAGCGTGCTACCTGCACTAGCCCGTTTCTTTCAGAGCCAGTTTCATCTTGGAGACTATGCAGACTCGATCAGGAAGGTAGTGCCAGAGGCATTCCGGCCGTTCGCACACTGGGCAGCAGAATCGCGAGAGCTGTCACGACATAATTAATGCCACGCGACAAGACGCATGTCTCGTCAATCGACGTTTTCTGCATCCTCTCCTCCGTAGCAGCACGTACGATCACAGCAGGTTGCGCACGGAGCCCTGTCCCCGACTCGCCGCCAGCCCCTTGCGAGCGGGTCCAGCATCCCGATCTGGTTACGCGGCACCCCATGGATGGCGGCCAGGGCCCAGGGCCTCCGGCTATGGGCGATAGCACGCTATAGCCGCCTCCTGGAGGCTGACATCCTTCCAAAACCCTTCTCGAAGGCCCTGACGAGGCCCGCAGCCTACTTGGCGCATCCACCAGCCAGGCTAGAGCAGCTGCAGGCAAACCCGTCCCACCCACTGCACATCCTCTTACCCGTGATTCGTGACACGACGATGGCCTTTCGAATTATTACGCAGGAGACAGGATAGTCCTCTGATACTAGCGAGGAGACCAGCATCTTGCGGTGTGAGATCAGCACCCCAAATAAGGGGGATCGCAACAGCAGATTTGGACCGCTTCTGGCCTTGGGCGGACGCCACATGTTGTAGCCTGCTAGGGCCTCCCGCACGGGCAGCGTTTAAGCTCGCAGACTATGTGGTGAGCCACACAATTAGGCCACCGGGGTTGTATCAGCCGCAGAGTCATGTCGCCTCCCATCTGTACGGAGTAGGGGATCAACTCAGCGCTGGCCAGGTCGCACAGCTGCGACAACGCTGGGTGCCGTTCCGGAGGCCTGTGGTAAGAGCGTACGTGGACGTAGCAACGAGCCCTCGACCCCAGCACGATCGCGCTGTGCAGGGTAATAGGGCCTTTCCTTGTCACCAGGCTGTAGTCAGCGACAATCACTGTCATTAGGACCGCCCGAATCTTCAGATCTGCGTTGGCCCGTATCCACCACTGCTGGCCGTCGGGACGGGAGGCCGGGGTGGGGAGCGCTGAGGGAACGACCGTTTGGCGCCGCCAGCTCCATATCCTGGCTGTGGCCCTGCTTGGCCCGGTAAGACACCGCTGGTGGAAACGTGGAAGACCTGCATCCCCCGTGGTAATTTCACGGCTACAAGACGTTGCTTCCTGGGGTGGATATGCGCGTGGGCCCGAGTCGAATAAGTACAGTCGTGCGCCCGGACTCCTGCTCGTGCCAAACTGTCACCCCAGCATACCAGCCAGCTCGTCCTGTGGCAAAGTGGGAGCCGCCGCAAAGGCCGTATCCTGCCACATTCTCCTGATCTCGAGTCCCGCGTTGCGCATTCTGGCGTTCTTGCTTGAAAAATAATCCTTTTTTTTTTCCTCTGTTGGGGGCTGTGCTGGGCCTCGTCGCGTCGGCTGTACTGTACAGTACCGTTTTTGTCCTTCGACCGTCACTTTCTCCGGTTCCGAAATCCTTTCTTCAACGACCGCTTTTCCCTTCACCACGGCCAACTGCCCTCTCACGGCCATCCCCCCCGGTTCCTTACGCGTCGACGACATTCGCAATTCACTTAAAACCAAGCTCCTAATACCTGTATGTGTCCCTTGGCTGCCTCTCCGCGCGCTTGCGATCCCTGCCACTCCGCCTTGGCCCTCGTGGCGTGAGCGATTTTCCACAACAACACCTGCACCACCGTTCCCCAACCGGAGCTGCCGTTCTCCCAGAGCTGTTGACTGTGGGGTCGACCGCCTTGGGAGAGGGGTTGCCTGTGGCGCGTGTCTTGGTCGCCAGTTTGCGATGCCTGGCTCCTTCGATCTGTTGACTGAGCGCGCTCTGCTGGTGATCCAATATTCGCAGCACGAGCCCACAGTTCATCGCGCATCTCGTTTGGAAAATTTTTGCTGACGGACATCCTGTAGAATACGTGTTCACGATTCACCTTTGACGACCTCTACAACCAGCTACACCTCGGACTCGAATTCTTCAGACACGTACCGTGACGTACCGGACCGGAGAGTCATCAGTTGGTCAACGCAACTCGGTGACTTTGGACGCGCTGTGTGAGAGTGACTTGCTGGTTTTTACACGCACTGCTGGCCCGGGGCGTTTGTGAAGCCGAGCGACGCGTGCTCTCGCCTCGTCCACTCACATCCCGTTCGTCTGGTGAAAGAATCTGGCAATTTCCGACAATTTCTTCGGACAAGTTGCTCCTTTCTCCCTCTGGCTCTTGCCGCGAGGCTGAAAAGCAAAGTAAGTCACGATACAATTTCTTGGTATCCGGTGTCTTCCCATCGAGACTTGCCCCTCCTTCTCCGGGCGGATCTTGCAACGTGCCTTCCTTGAATGACTCGAAAAGACTGCATCTCATCTGTCGCGCTCAATCTAGTCTAACTTGCTCCTCCAGTTCGTTTGAGGCGGCGTCGAATTAGTCAGCTCGTGCTCCGCTCACCGATATTCTGCCATCGTCGCCTGATCCAAACACGACTCGACCGTCAACTGCATAATACGCAGCCGACAAACCATCGCACCGTTGATACCTCGGACTTGGGAGGAAAGAAAAGGTTCTATTGTCATCACTGGTCCTTCCGCTCGTCGTGGACAGTCTTGACTTCGGTTTCCCAGCTGCCTGCTGAGGCAGGACATGGAGATCACGACCATACTGAACAGAAAAGCTTCAGCTGCCATAGCTGCAGACTCACAATTGCAACAACAACTCGCCCAGGCCGTCCACCTGACTCAAACGTCCTCTGAAATGAGTTCCGAACAGCCCACCTCTCAAGCAGGGGACCACCCCGTCATGTCTTACCCTTCCAATCCTCCCCCTCTTCATCCGATGACCACCATGCCTCCTCATGGAGTGACCCATCCCAACAATGGGGTTCCGGTGATGCCGAACGCGTATATGCCCGGTGGATTCCCGAACAACCCACAACAAATGCCAGCCGCACCCCAGGTGCCTCAGGGTCGGCCGGAACCAGCTCCTCGAATTTTTCACTGTTCGACATGTAACAAAGGGTTCGCTCGACGCAGTGATTTGGCCCGTCATGGTAAGTGACACGTCCGTGGCAGATTCTGGGCCTGTGGAACAATTGGCTGACTCGATTCCTAGAGCGCATCCATACCGGTGTCCGACCCCATGCGTGCGATTGGCCGGGCTGTGGGAAACAGTTCATCCAACGGTCCGCCTTGACTGTGCATATTCGTGTTCACACCGGAGAGAAGCCTCATATGTGTGAGAGATGTGGCAAGGTATGTTGTGCCTCCAAATGATCAAATGGAATTGGAAAGTTCTTACTGACTGGTCATGTTGCAGCCCTTCAGTGACTCTTCCTCTCTAGCCAGACACCGCCGAATTCATTCGGGAAAACGACCGTACAAATGCCCATATGCGAACTGCCAAAAGACCTTTACGCGTCGCACGACACTCACACGTCATCAGAATCATCACACTGGGACTATTGAGGAGGCTGCAGCTCAGACGGAGGCCAACCTGAGGCAGAACAAGGAGCGGTCGGCGCGACCTTCAGAGGGTGTCTACTCTGAAACTGCGTCTACCCAGTCCACGCCTTCACCTGCGCAGCAGGTTCCGATGTCGCTCGGTAGCGAACTTCCGCCGTTGAATGTGCTCCGTCCCAATGGCGAATACTACGTGCCAAACGGATCCATACCGCCTCATGTACGGGGAGACTTCCAACAAGCTAGTCCTCGAGCTTCTCCAACAGCAACGTCCCCATCCCTCTCCAGCTATGGCAGCGCGCCCCATGCCCGGCCATCGATGACCTCGCATCCCAGCGGATATGGACCGCCGCAGCCACTTGAGCCCCCAGCGAATAATGATCATCGACCGAACAGCGTCAATGGCAGCCCTCATATGACAAATATGGGATGGGCGTCGCCTTCGCACGGTAGCATCCCATCGCCGGGATCTGCTCATGACTACAGCTACCCAGAGCCAAACGGACCGGCCTACTCGGGCGCCATGCCTCCTCACATGTACTTTCCAAACTCGACCATTCGCAGGCCCGGCAGCACAGAGCCGGAGAACTACGAAATGAAGCCAAGAGTTGGTGATAACTCGTGGACCACTACGGTTTGAGTTCCCTGTCTGAGACTCGTGCATGACCGACGCTCTTTTAGTGGTTGATTCGTGTATAGTTCTGCTGTACCAGACTGCTTGATTCTGTCTGCTTTTTTTGATTTATTATGGTGATTCCCCCGTCGTCTATTGTCAATTTCCCCTAGCATTATTTCTTTGGTCGCATGTTCAATGTTGCATTTTTGTTTTTGTTTTATTGTTGTCGAGATACCAAGAGACATACGTGGGAACCCTTTGCCACGAGCATTAGCACTGGATGGAGTCCGGATTGAGCGGTGTGTTCCAGTGTTTTGTCCTCTGTTTCTCCTGCCTGATGAGCCGTATGACCAGGATGAAGGATAGATAGAGCGAAAAAAAGGATTTGCGTCTGGGTTTGGGGGGTTTCGGGGTCTGGGTACTGGGTTTGTTTCACCTTTTTTCTTGTGTATTGTTGTGTTAATCTTTGTCATGTTGCTTCTTCCACGTATATGGTTTGATATTATTATTACTACTACTATTATTATTACCCCTAATAATACTCCTTTCTGTGTTTGAGCTCCTTTTTTTTTTCTCCTGCTCATTAATTAATTGAGTGTATTTATTATTTGCTTTTCCCCTCCGTAAAGACATTTCCTTTGTTTTATTAAATATTTCCCAGTGGACACATTTTCAATAGGTAATTTGATCGATTGATCGGATCGACACTGTAAGTAACAAAAGAAAAAGTCGACATTAATTTTTCCCCTTTCATACATACTAACCTAATCACTACACTGCGTAGTTGTACTGTACAGTACAAAAAGAAAACAAAAATAAAAGATAGCGTGCATAGTACTGTACTGTACAGTGCATACTTGTACATACATGCATACATACCAATAATCATTTGTAATTAATTAATTCAAAGAAAATAAGAAAGAAGACCTTTCCTTGCCGCTCGTTTCTCTCTGTTTTCTTTTTCTTTTTTTTTCAGTCCTACATACCCATCATAGAGAGTGCCCCTCCTATACCGCTGCTGCTGCTACTACTACTCGCGTTAAGAGCTGCAGTGGTTGTTGGATCGGGAAACATCGTTGGGCACACGCAGGATGATGACGAAGCAGCAGTAGCAGCAGCAGACGTAGATCGACCAAAGATGTTGGCCACAAGTTTGGCGCCAAAGGATGTCGTGGTCGTTGGGTTCGCGGCGTGGATGCTGGAGAGGAGTCCAAAGCGGAGGATGACTTCGGAGGTGGTGACGAAGATGGAGATGAGGATGAGCATGATGATGATCCAAGTTTGATCTGGAGATATTACTCCGTATTAGTCTTGGCCCGTAGTAATAAAGAATAATCACAAGGGGGTTGGGGGCAGGGACGAGTGAAGGAATATACGTACGAGACATGGTGTTGTCGGCAATCGAGTCGGATAGGATTTCTGTAAGGTCGAGGAAGACGCGGCACCGCTCGTTGAGCACTTGGATGCGAGGCTTGATTTCGAGGTACTCGCGGACGGCAATATAAAGCGGGTACAGGGTCGGTTCGCTCTCCCAGAAGAAGTTGGGCACGTCGAGCATGTTGGATGCTATTTCATGAGTCAAAATTAGTAAGTACCACATGCATTATTCACGGAGTAATTGCACATACACAAGTTGACCTCCACCCGACTCTTAAACAGCCGGCCCAGGATTCGGAACACTTCGTCGCGCTTCATGCCTAGCTTCCCCGTCACTGCTAGCCTCCGTGGGACGTCCTTGGCCGCGGCCATCTCCTTCGCCATGGCTTCTTCAAAGAAGCAGAGCTTCGTGCTCTGTGCGATGCCGTGGCTGATGGCCAGCTTGATCATATGGTCACCACTGCGCAGCGTAATCATATCGTTGTACACACGTGGCCGTGAAATCTCCGTCGAGTACTCGAAATGAAACTCTTCCGTCTCGAAGTCCTCCTCCGGCAACGGCATCGTCGCCAGGGAGATGGGCGGACCCGTCGTGCCGGAAGAAGAGAAGGTCAGATCTGCCAGGATGTCCTTCTCCTGCCGCTCCGTGAAATTCCAAAACACCACTACCCCGTAGCTGAAGACGAACATCTCGGCGATATTGAATACGCTGGCGGGGATAACCCGCTTGACGGGCTTTGGCTTAGGTGATTGATCTGCTTCGTTGCTGGCGGCCCTTTCGCCTTCATTTTCCACCCTTTCGCCTTCTTGATGTTCACTTTGCCTGCCAGGGTCGGCCATGCTGTCATTTCGGTCTCCCCTGTCTTCGCCCTCTCCCACTTGACCGTGGCGACTGCCACCGACTGAGTGCTCGTCCGCTTCTCCAAAGTCCTCTTCATGATAGTCTCTCCGCTCATTCCGCTCTATTTCCTCATCTAGCACAACCCTTCCACCGGCGCCCTTCAGCACAGGACTACTCCGAACCCTGTACCCCCCGCGCCCGGGAAGAAGAGGTAGTTGGTAGGCCACGTAGAGACAGTCATCGTAAAGCTTTGTTCGCGCGCTATGCCACTCCTTGAGGAACGAAGTCGTTGCCCCCATCTTGTATGCTTGCGCCGTGCAGTACGCCGTGACGCGAGCGAGCTTCTCTGCGCGACGGGCTTTGGGAAGTCGTTCCGCGTAGCTCTTAGCCTTCTCCGGCGGCATACGACGACGACGCAAGGCTTCCTCCTCGGCGAGCAGGGGCGCAACGTCATTATCAACACCAAAGTCGCCACGAAGTTTCTGTTGCGCCGCCAATTGTCGTCTCAGCGTCTCGGGATCCTCATTCCGCTCCTCTGCCAGTCTCTGGACAAGTTCTTCATCAACCTGCTCCTCCTCCAACAATTCCTCTTCCTCTTCTCTCACCCCTTCCGCTTCAGTCTCTGGCAGCAAGACCAGCTTCTCCGTGACTTTGGTGGTCCGTGGGGGCAGACGAGCCTGCGCAGCCAATCTTCCTGCTGTTCCCACCGCTCCAGCTGAAACACCAGACGGGTTGCCGATAATGCCGCTGGAGGAAGAGAGGCGCGAGCGAGGCCGCATCTGAGGTCGTTGTTGCGGAGGTCGCCGCTGCTGCATGGAAGGCACGTCGGAGGCATACTGAAGGACATTGTCAACAGTGATCAGACGGGTAGCTGGCTGGGGGCGGCGAGATGCGCGCTGCTGCTGCTGGTCGCGAGAATCAGTGACCTAGACGGCATCAGTATGAAAGGCCTCCAAGCAGTTTTGGGGACGCACGAGCACGGTTGGGTTCCGCCGGGGGGACTCCGGGCCTTTGGCAGGAGGCATGGTTGGAAATCGACGTCGACGAGGACTTTGGATTTCAACTCAATTCAGTGCAGTCCCAGTTGTTCTCTATTTTCTCCTTTTCAACCCGCCATTTATCGGATGTCGTCGCGCTCAATGCAGCTGGACACGAAGATATCCTGCTGCCCGCAGGTGTGACTTGAATGGATGCAAGCAGCACGTTCGCCAAGCTCGACGATCATTGGCACGGACAACTTGGGCTTAGCCTGCTTCCCCCATGGGTATGACGTCGGTGTCTGTAATTAATTACCGCGGCAATACGCTAATGATACCGGCCCCAAGGATCAGTAAATTACCGCTCTCCGCTAGTTCTCGTTTGGCCACGTGCCTTGGCTGGCCCGAGTGGACCGCTCGATTTAGTGACCCGACAGAGGGGAATAATAGACCGTTACGATCTTAGACAGGCATGGTCTCGAAGTCATGCGAAATACACTGTAGAAGCTCTTTGTCTGATTACTTTTGTCACCGCCTATTTTGTCTTTCGCTATACAATACATTTGAATCTCAAGAGTTCTCCAAAGCAACACCAGTAGTTGACCACAAATCGCATGCTAAGTACGTCCGTCCAGGTCGAATAAAAAAAAAACCCCTCATTTTAAGGCTGGAAAAAGCCATAGAAAACGCCACACATATTCTGTATCCAAAACTCCCATGTAGATGACCCTTGTATGTGGAATGCCTCCAAAATCGTAGATGAACCAAGCAAAACAGGAAAAACGTGAAACCAAGGGGTAAAAATAACGATAAGCAAAAAGTCCAGTCTGGACGCTGGCCCGGGATTCAAATCATCTCATCATCGTTCACTTCGTCACCCGTTGCGTAGTCGTCGGTCTTCGTCCCAGATCTCCTTCTTCATTCGTTGCAGTCGAATATGCTGTCGCTGGAGTCTTTCCAGTTCGGCAGGCGGGGGGTCGGGATGAGCCGCCAACGAATCATGCAGGGCCCGATACTTGGCGTAGTACTGCTTGAACCGCAGCGACTTCTCCCGCAGCTGCTGACGGAGCAATTCCCGACTCAGAGGAGGCGAGGCACTACCCGAACTAGTGCCGCTGGGCGACGGCGAGCTGGCCGGTCGCCGCCGTTTGGCATCGACGGCATGCCCGTTTGCGTGTCCAGCAAACTGCGAGGTGGTAGTGGGGGTCTCCCTGTCTGGCGCTTCCTTCCGTTTGAGAGGGTTCGTCATCTCAGGCGGCGTCTTATGAACGCCGTTCACTTTGGGAGGATTCTTGACTTCAGTGGAATTGGCCGACGCTTTGGGCCGTTTCGAGACTTGAGTGATCAGCGGTGATGAGCTTGAGGAGCTCGTCTGACCGGAACCTCTTCCGGAGTTGTCGAGGTTCGAGGCATTCGTGGGAGGTGATGACGCCAATGGCGAAGGCTTCTGCGGAGAATTTGGATTGGAGGGCCGTGAAGATGACGGCAACGTCTTGGAAGCCGTTGCGTTCGTGCTGTTGGGGGTGGTTTTAACACTCTGGGACTGGGATTCGGGTTTCTGTTGTGGTTTCGCCGTGGAGGAATGGGGATCAGGTAATGTCTTGGATTTGGAGGAGGAGGAGGAAGTAGTGGTGGTGGTATTGGTGGTAGTCGTCGTTGTCGTTTTAGTCGTGGGAGTGACCTTGTCAGATGCGGTTGATGCGGGTTTCTTCTCAGGTGGTGGTGGTGCGTCAGGCATGTCCGTATCCTCGTCCGAGTCATGGACATATTCCGCCGATTTGTATTTCCCCTCCGCTTTACCTGTCGTCTTCTTTTCGGTCTTCTTGGTGACGCGTCCGGTCAAAGTGGAATTTTTCCCCTTAGCTGCAGCCCCCCTCTTGGTGCTATCCTTCTCGCCCACTCGTTTCCTCTGTGTCGTGCCTCCCGATTTGGACGCGGAGATAGTCTCCGCTGCTGTCGGAGTCAAGCGGCCGTTTGTCCGATCGGTCTCGTTTCCTGTAGCATAGCCTTCCTTGCCTGTGTCTTCGGCGGCATGCACCTGGATCCGGGGCGTGGGGGCCTTCTTGATAGGCCCTGAACGGAGGTCCAGACGCGACAAGACCTTCCCTTTCCCTCGCTCCTCCTTGGGTAAAAGCATCTGCCATAGCTTGTCCGAACGGGAGATACGCATCCGATCAAACGCGGAGATGGCATTCTCGATGGCCTCCTGCCGGTCCTCCTGGGTTGGATACGGAAAGTTCCATACGTCGAGCTCCCGGTATGCTTTGTCTTTAAGGTCGAATTTCTCTCGATCGAGGCGGTTCTCCGTCGCGTATTTCCGGGCGAGGGTCAGGCAGTCCTCCTGCGAGGCGCGGGTCTTCTGGGCGATGAATTTGATCGATACAGCACGAACTGCGAGTAAATGGATAAACGGAACTCGTAGTGCTTCGAGACGGATCTTCTCCTTGCTCTGAGATGCCGGGGCAGAGGTGGGCGTGAGAGCTGGGACGGAAGCTGGGGAACGAGCCACGCCCAAGGCTGGGCTACTGGGGATGGAGCGATTGCCGGCGTTCTGAAAGAACCGTTCCTTCGCGACATCGATCTTGCTGGTGGGCATGCGAGCCAAGCTGGCAGCCTGTCTCCCCGTTGCAGATCGATTGTCGCCTGCACCCAACGCCCGCACGTCCTGAATATTGGTTATCAGAGGGGTCTTCTTTGACTCCTTGCCTCGCTCGAAAGCACTCAAGCTCTGCTCGAGGTTGGCCAGAGCCTCATCTGTGGCAGCGGTGGCCACCTGAGCCTTCTGGACCTCGAGACTGTGACTGAGAACGCCGGTGAAATAGAGGTTCTCCTTGTCGGCCGGGTTTGATCGGTAGATCTCTGATCGATGGATTTCGGGGTGGGAATGGAACTGCTGGGACTTGTTGCCGTAGTAGAGGGTCTGGTGTTTTCCCAGACGGATGCGAGCTTTCTGGTCCTTCCGCAAGGACTCGACCAGCTCGTCCAAGGTGCTCTGGGCGAGATTCAAGCGCATGATCTGGGTTGGTCTGGCGGCAGCATCCGGGGAGACATGGCCGGGCTGGTCTCCTCGCCACAGAGACAGCCCGGTCTCGGGGACATCGAAGGCGGTCATGGAAGAAATAGAAGGCAGGTTCGAACACTCAGGAGATGAATTGAGGGGAGGAGGAGGTCTGGCAGCAAGAAAAGCTGCAGGTTCAGCTACCGGGTGCCACGGGAAACGACGCCCTGCCACTCCATAGACCAAGGCTGATCAGGGAGACCGCAGCAGCGTAGACAGGACGGACAAGGCCAGGGTAGAGCAGGCTTGCATTCATGGCAGGACAAAGAAGAACAATGGAGGATGGGGGAGCTGGAGCGGCGGGTGAAAGAGAGGGCCGGGGAGGCCGTGAGGGAGGAGAAGCCAGGGCCGGCCGGGGCAGCAGGTCGTGGTCCGGCTCGACTCGTTTTGAGTGGGGAGAACAGCGGTGCTGCTAAGGTACCTCGCTGTCGGGAGGCGTGGGCCCGCGGGAGCCAGCGTAAGGCCCGCCCTGCAGCGCTGCGATTCGCCGGCGCCCGTCGATGCGGCGATGCGGTCGATGCCTCCAGGGCCGGACAGGCGTCTGGCAGCGGCTGCTCAGGCGGCGTAGGGCAGCGGACGAGCTGGAGCTGCTCATCCAGCGCTGAAGCTGTGCTGCTGGCCAGGACGAGTATCTGCTGCGTGGTGGACATCATCACCATCACCGCATGCTGGGGCAGGCGTGACAGTACGGTACGGATGCCCCGTCCGGAAGCCAGACCGTTCCCGGGCAGGGCTCGCCAAAGGCGGCGACAGTTGCCGGAGCAGAGTTACAGCTAATTACTGTAGACTCGTGACTGCTGCTGGCCAGTGGCTGAGCGCCCGTGCAAAGCCACGCCAGGCTCGCGATCCAGGGTTGAGTCGCGAGTCTTCTATGTCCCCGCATCCAGAATTGCTGAGAACTCCGAGTTTAAGCCGGAGTGCTCTTCTTCTGCGCCTGGAGTGTACGATTAATTAAAGGAATCGACTAGCGAAGTGTTCTTCATGCAGAGCTAGCTAATTATGACTCGCTGTCCGCGCTCCCGACACTATTTCGGTACCTACGCCATCGCGATGCCTGTGCCAGTCAAGTGGCCACGGCTGCCCCCACCGCTATGATGCCTGACGCCGCCGACGACGACGACGCAGCAGTGATTCATCGCAGGCCAGTGGCAACCCTTCCGGATGCCAATTGCGATGACTGTTCAGCTGCTCAGTCGATCGTATGAGGCGTGCCTCTGACTGGGCCCTGCTTAGTCAGACACGTAGAGTCTTAGTGCGCTTCGGAAGGGACAGCCGTATCGCTGCATGCCCGTGCCATGCCAGTCGATGGCAGCGCTCGCCAGACAGGACGGACGAGTGGCTCAATTATTGGGTCCCTCGCTCTGTCCCTGCTGTGTTGTATCGTGCTCGACAGCATCCTTGCTTCAGTGCCCGCCCTGATGGACAGCACAGGGCACGAAGGGCTGCAGCCCTTCCACGAGGATCAGGATCGCCTCGCTGCTGGGCTTGCCCGCAGATCACCCGCCGAGACGCCGGTGTTGCTGGCCCAGGGCGCCATGCATGGCACAGCCAACCATCTCGTATCCTGGTGGGAAGCCTGGAATGCGCGGGATCGCGGACTTCACACCTAATCGCTACCGCACCCCGAGCGTAACCAAGCACTAAACAATGCGAGTGCAACCACAGTCCTCTGCAGGTGATTACTGTGCAACCTGGCAGAGAAGGCAAAAGAATTAATTCGATACTTTGTCCGTCTGTCATCTCTGACCCGGTGGGGGAGTGCCGGACCCTCCCGTTCCATGTTTACGTGATCATCGTCCTTCCCCAGGCTCCCTGTGGAGCGTTGGAGCAATCGCTGTGCTGATCCGGCTGAAGCAAACTCATCCCAACTTGGTTTACGGTCTCGACCAGGCGAGTCCAGGAAATGTCTGGGCAGATGATTTACTCCGTAACTACGCCATTGCCAGAACCAGATGGCGCATGGATCTCGATCTCTCTTTATTCCAGGAACGAAACAATGGAACACAGCTCTTGGGACTGTAGATATTTATATTTCTGATTGTATCATCTAGTTTGCCAGGGACACGAAGTGGTGGTACGGATCTCAGTCCTGTGGTACACCATCCTCACCCCGCTCTTCTAGACCCCTACCTTGTTAAAATGAATGATGGCGTGACTGAGACAGATGACGGTTTTAGTCAGCCAGTCAGTCTGATCTCAGCTCGATCGATTTCTGCTTACTCCGTATATACTCGAAATGAGATCGTGACTATTACTAATGATCCAGGACGCCCGGTATGCAGCTCATGCTTTAGATAGGGAGACCGTAGCAGAGATGCGATGGAGCTCCTCTATAACCCCATCCGGTATGGCTTCAACTTGTTACACCGGCGCATGCAGCTTTCTATCTTTGGCAGTTAGACTCGCTCCTGACAAAGGACTGATGCAATTATACATAGGATGGAGTACTTTGCCAGTTAAAAAAAAAGAATAAAAAAAATATGAACGTTTGTTTCTGTCTGCTTTGTTCAATGATCATGTTGTCAATTACTCCGTACAAACAAGTCGTCGGTAGTACAGTACCTTTGTCACTAACTGTAATAATTTCTTGACAAATACTCTATACACCATAAAAGGTACCACTATTAACTTGAACCAATGATAGGTACTCCCGTCCTGTCTGAAATCTAAATTAATAGCCGGAATGGACAGTGACCTTCTCTGGACCAGTCAGTCATGCAAGATGGGGCCGGGCCGCCTAATAATAAACTCGACGATCTCAACGGAGTACGGTTCAAGAATAATAAATGGTAGGCTGCCAGCCAATTAATTGTCCGAGCGGGGGCCAGGCCATCCGGCAGGACGGAATACACATGAACAACCCGTAATCCAATCCTTTTACGGTGTAGGTAGGTTAACTTATCCCATTTATTATTACCTGGTATTCCATTATCCACTTCTATAGGAAAGTGGATGGACGGACCCTAACTTAGTACAGAATGGGGCAGTAAATAATAATAATAACTAGTAGTAATAATAATAGTAGGGTGCTAGACAATAATTAGCAAGAATCTGATCTGAATGGATCCGGAACTTGCACTCCAGTCTCCAGCCCGCTCGCACTTTTCCTTTTTCTTCTCTTTTCCTTTTTTTTGCCCTCATCGGGCTTCCCCCTTTCAGTTTCGGCTTCCCGCTTACTTCCATGGAAACTTTATGGAGTAATTACCTTAGTACACTCCATATGGAGTACTCTGTACTGTATGTACATACGATAGGATACGCTTTTTGCCCACTTGTGCGTAATGTGTATACACCTACCTAGGTAGGTAGGAGTATGGTGTAGGTACCTAGGTACCTATGGGGTACAGAGTACTGAGTACAGTAAATCTGACTGGACAGTAGTACATACCGGTAACCGTGGGTACCTTGAGTACCTACAGTATTACTGGTAGATTAGTTTCTTGTACGGAGTAAATCGCCCCAGCCAAGACTTGGGTACGGAGTACACTGTACGGAGTACTGGTGAGCAGAAGGAAGTTAGGAACAGCAAGCGAACAGGAAGTAGACAGGACCAGCCAACAACTTACTCCTAGATAACCTACCTACTAATTGACGCTATTAATAGAAATGAATACTCCGTAGGATGATTAGCAGGTAATATTATACCTACAGTATTCTTTCTTTTTTTTAACTTTTAGCGACTTAATTCCTCCGTATCAGATTGCTGGGGCGGAAAAAAAAAGGTATTCTAAATGAATGGCTTGAGATTAACTACATACAGTACGGAGTACGGGTCCAATCCTTCTGGACCCGCAGATATGATATGATGCATTTATTCCAGAATAAGCGAGCGAGCGAGCGAGCGATCGAGCGCCCCCATCTTAGGTACGGTGTACTCTACTCTGTACTACCATTCGGCGTACTGTACCAATCGAATGAGCCTGGACTGATAAGGTACTGTACGTATGTACGGAGTACATCCATGTAGGTACTGTAGGTAGCCAACGTTACTCTCAACCAACAATTCTCTTTTCTTTTCCTCTTAAGACGTGTGACCACAAGCTGTAGGTAAGTCCGGCCCCTCTGTATGTAACTATGGAGTACGACTCTCTATCTACTGCTATTGCCAGTTCCCTGTGCCGCTTGAGCGAACCAAACCAACAAGTATCACACGACAAATGGCACATGTACAGTACATACATGTAGATGTAGATTGATGGATATAGAATAGCATTGGCATCACATGATATCAAATTCAGCATATATCTTTCTTCTCTATCTATATTGTCAAGCTGATATGATATAGCTGATGATTTTTCTTGATTTTTCTTCTATTCATTGCCCGTGATGGAGCGCATCGTTATGTACGCACGTACTTGACATGCCAATCGTTATATCTCGTGACCGTTTTTTTTATTTCTTCTCCATCTGCTCAAAATACTTCTCCCACCCGATTTCTCGCATCTTCGCCCCCTTCACCTCCAGGTTCTCTGTCTTGGCGTTCTCTGCGTACTCCTCCACCTTGCGACGGATGGTGGGGTCGAAAGAGCCCAGGAATCGTGCCGCCAGTAAGGCCGCATTGATGCTGTTGTTGATTCCGACGGTCGCGACGGGTACGCCTGTACAGACGTCAGTGTCAATGCTGTAAAATTCACCAGTTTAATTAGGGTGACACACCTCGTGGCATCTGCACAATGCTGTACAAACTGTCAACTCCATCCAAAGCGCTGCCTTTCACCGGAACCCCAATCACCGGAAGAGACGTGTGGGCCGCCGCCATGCCAGGCAGATGTGCCGCTCCCCCTGCCGCAGCGATGATGACCTTGATGCCGCGAGACGCCGCCTTCGAGGCATATTCCGCCATATACGTAGGCGTCCGATGCGCAGACGTAATGTCAACCTCCGGCTCAATGCCAAAGTAATCTCTCAGAAGCTTAAGGCCCGGCACCAAGGTCTTCAGGTCGCTGTCGGAGCCCATGACAACCCCAACGGTGGGCGCGGGCTTCGAAGGACCCGATTTCTGCGGCGGCGTCTTGATATCGCTGCGCTGAGCGCGAATCTCATCCACAACATCAATCAGAGGCTGGATGATCGTCTCCGCCTCGTGCATTGTAGCGGCCGTGACAGTCACATGGCCCATCTTCCGCCCTGGCCTGGCGGCGCCTTTGCTGTAAAGATGGATGCTGGCGTTCGGTATCGAAAGCGCTTTTTCTGCCACTTTCAGGTGCGAGTCTGGCGTTGCCCCGCCGATAATGTTGAGCATGATCGACGGCTGCCGGAGTTCAAGGCTCTTCGGAGGAATCGGGAGATCGAGAATGGCCCTCAGATGGGCATCAAACTGGGAAAGTGCACAGCCCTCAATCGTATAGTGGCCGGAGTTGTGGATCCGGCTCGCAATCTCACACAAAAAGATCGAGTCATCCTCGAGCAGAAACATCTCGACCCCAAACACACCTTTCCCTTCAAAGGCAGCCACTGCATTGCGGGCCAATTCTTGAGCTTTTTGGTTGATGGCGTCAGACACATTCCGTGCTGGTGCGTAGACGAGCTTGCATATTGAGTCCTCCTGCACAGTTTCCACTGTAGGATAAGAGAGGACGCTGTCATTGGTTTTTACAACCATGACCGCCAATTCCTTGCAACAATGTTAGACCGAAACCAGCATGCAAGATGATAATACTGACCATCTTGAAGTTAACCCACTTCTCTGCGTACAAGGGGCGATTCTTCAAAGCTTCAAGGGCCGCGGGGATATCCTCCTTGGACTTGACAGGGTAGTTACCTATTTATCCCGCTGTAAGACTGAGTTGCGACGCGAGAAGTGCGCAAAAAAAAAGGAGGATCACATACCCCGGCCATCGTATGCAAGAGTCTTCGATTTCAGCATCAGAGGAAAGCCCAGCTGCTCACCGATTTCCGCCAGCTCCTCTGGCGAGTTTTGCACGAGCTCGCGGTAGTCCGCCATTGGGATATTGTATTTTGACAGGTACTTCTTCTGCTCAAATTTATTCTGAATGATCCGGATGGCCTTCCAGCTGGGCTCAATCCTGACCTCGGAGGCCACCTCTTCGAGGGCATGGGTGTCCACATGCTCGATCTCGGCCGTCAAGACATCGGAGATCTTTGCAAGCTTGTGGACGGATTCACGGTCATTGAATGACCCGACCACATGGCCGTCGTGAGCACTGATCTGTTTCGCCGGCGCATTCTCCGCATCCAGGATGTTCATTTGGATATTCAGTCGGTTGGCGGACTCCATGAGCATTCTGCCCAGTTGCCCGCCACCGAGCACGCCGACTTTGGGAGAATTCCACATCGTGTCTGAAGTCGGCAATTCCCTCTCCTGTCGCCAGTACGGATTAAAGCTTGTTGGTGATCTGCAAAATAATAGTATACGAGCCCCCCTCCCCTCACTTTTACGCTGCCGACTGGGTGGATCCAGGACTAAAAAAAAATATCGGATCTTGAAAGAAAATGGTCACGTGATAGCCAATCAAATACCTACAGTCGCTTGGAGAAGAAACCTTAATTTAGTTGGAAGCAGAGGGCCTTGGAGAATCAAATTGCTAGGAATCGTTTGAGACTTCCAAGGACTAATGCATTGCAGTTACTGAAGTCACACCCTTTTATTCATCTAGCAAGTATTTCAGAAGTTTCACTTGATGCGCCAGTTGTAATGTGTGCGGCCTGCTACTTTATCACCTTAATTGCCTCACATCTCCACATATCTTGAAGTCATGTTCATCAGATTTACATAATCGATTTTTTTTGGAAAATTGGAAAGATAAAACAAAGAAAGAGTGCACAGATTGAGGGTAAATGAAGCTCTTATCGATCCTCACGTGCGGGGCGCTGGTTCTCCAACTCTACCCAAATTGTTCGGCGGGCTGCTGCCAGGCAGCCAATGAGCGAATTGATTGGGCTGTGGCGCACCAGCGCGCTAAGCAGCCGATCGTATCGTATCGCAATCGCTATGCGGCGCGTTGCTGCAGTCTGACTTTTGCTGGACCAAGCTCTCGTCTCCCTCTCAACATTGCTGGTGATCTGGAGATCACCCCAGGACTGGCAACATGTCCTTAGGTAAGTCCTGTGCTTTTGAAAATTAGCTTTGCTTCCAGTGTGAACCTTTTCACGCGCTGTCATCCTGTCGCGGAAATTGCTTCACGCTTCAGCTGTCAACCATTGCGATCTTGAATGTGTTGGGCTCCAGGTTAAGAATCTTGCTGACCTAGTTTTGTAGACGAAGAAATCCTCGAGGCTGTCGCACGAGATGGCTCGATGGACTAGTACGTGAAGCTCGTCCAATGATTTCTCCAGGCAATTTCAAGATGCTCACACTGATGCAGCGACAAGTGGCCCGGGATGTTGGAGCCGTTAATTGAACGGCTAGATCAGGTATCTTATTGAAAATAACCGGTATGAAGCATCATTTCATTGCTAATAGTTCGATTAGATAGTCCGAAATGACTTTCCAATGCCGAAGATACCCCCAGAACTCGCTTCCTCCTTCGCTATGCAGCAGCCCTCAGTCCCCTCTTCGTATCCGTCTCAAGATGCCAGCTTCTTGCAGAGCAGCAACAAGGAGAACGCCCCTCCTTCAGAACCCCTAGAACCGTCACAGATATCCAGCGAACGTGTACCAGATTCTCTGCCATCACAACGGGATACCTCGAATGACCCGCTCCCACCTCCACTACTATCCCTCTTGGAATCGATCAAGTCTACTTTGAGATCATACTTTGCGTTGAAACCACCACACACAATACAGCGACTGGTAGAGCTGATTCTCCGTCCCACTCGTCATTACCGTACATTACCTGCTTATCTTAGAGCTGTCGATCGAGTAGTTGCTGTCTCTAGCACCGCAGATATCTTCCCTCTTCCCAGAGCGGGGCCGGACGACCTGCCTAATGGGATCGCTAATGGCTCAAGTACCGGCTTTATGGTTACAGATGATTCTCTGGGCAGCGACGAATCCTTAGGAGGAGCGCTATTAACTCCAATACCGTGGTTAAATAACACGGACCCGGACGGTAATAATACGGATTCGACTGCGGAAGGTAAGTGGACTATGGATTCGAATTCTGCACGCGATGTGTCATCGATCAACGTGCTGATTTATGACGATATAGGAGCCGCGAGTCAAAGCGGGCTTGTCGGACAAGAGCAGGAGGTTGGCACCGTTATGAGTCCGCGTCCAGAACATGCCACTGCTGTAACCGTTGAGAATGAAACAGGAGAGTCGCATACGTCCCCGCCGCCTGAAGAAATCCCCCATGCGCGTGGTCCACCAGTGGTAGGTGTGGAGGACATGGGGCTGCAGAACGGGAGGGGCATCGAGATGTCTCTTGCAACGAATGCCGCGCCAGACAGCGATGAGTCTGGAAACAAACCCGAGCAGGTGACAGGGGATTCTGGTGCCAAGAGCAATACCGGTGGAGATGCTGATGGGGATGGGGACATTGTTCTGGACGATGTTACGGGCAAGGGAGTTGATCAAGGACAGGCCGGCCCAGAATCAGAAGAACGGCAGCAAGAGCAACAACGACCATCGGAAACGGATACCCCTACAGATTAATTAATTGATTAATTGCAAAACTAATCTAATCTGACGGGTTGTGATGACCATGACACGGAATTTAATGACTTGAAAAGCAATTACTTTTCTATACAAGTCTCCAGACATGACCAATTCTGAATAATAGTCAAGTCGTATATTAGCTAATTCAAACATAGGCTGTATTAGACTGCTCAAACACTTTATATTCAGTTAATGTAAACTAGGATATCTGATTTTTTCCTCCCCGACAAGTTAACATGCAAAGTTCACTCCATAGATCGACACTACAAATATACGTAATTCATATGATAGAACCGGTTCAAGGAAACCCTCCCATCTTCTTTTTGATGAATCTTGAAACCCTCTAACAGACTCCATGTGATAGTTTATTCTTGGGTCATGGTGTAGATACAAAATACCAATTAGGTAAACAAGACTGAGTTAATCACGTGACCTCGCGCCACCGACCCCGCGTCTCTGACGCGCCAGGCAGCCTCATCTCATTTCGGTAAGAAGCTACCTGCACCGCCTTCAAACCGGACGGACGGTTGAGAGGAGAGAGAGCACATCAAAGCTTTCTCCTACTCAGCGTTCATTCCTCAGAGAGAGCTGGTCAAGATGTAAGTTTTCTATCTTCGTCCCTTTATGAGACAAAAAACAAAGAAGAAAGTCTGTTGCTAACTCCGTTAGGTGTAAGTTTTTCTGGACATAACGGCTTTAGGGAATTGGAACTCTGGTCTGATACTCTTGCAGCGAGAATCGACAAGCTTTCCATTCTTGGGTGGGTCTTCTTTTTCTCGATTCGACGACGTGGTTTGTTATAGATCTAACGAGTCGATGTAGTGTACGTTCGTTCGACAATACCAGGAGCGAGACCATCCAGTTCCACACGCCTTTGACCTTGATCGTTGGATATAATGGGTCGGGAAAGACTGTACGTGGGAGAATTGCTCTCTGTCTTGATATGTGCTTACACATCCCAGACGATCATTGAATGCCTCAAATATGCCACCACTGGCGAGCTACCGCCCAACAGCAAGGGCGGAGCCTTCATCCACGATCCCAAGGTGCGCACCTTTGACCTTTGGAGCCGACGTTTGCTAAAATTAGGATATAGCTATGTGGAGAAAAGGAGGTTCTTGCCCAAGTGAAGCTCGCGTTCAAGAGTACGTCGGGGGCTAAGATGGTGGCGACCCGGAGTTTGCAGCTCACAGTGAAGAAGACAACGCGACAGCAGAAAACTCTGGAGGGCCAGCTCTTGATGGTCAAGGATGGCGAAAGGACTGCGATCTCTTCCCGTGTTGCGGAGCTGGACCAGATTATGCCCCAGTACCTTGGTGTTTCTAAAGCGATCCTCGACTCGGTCATATTCTGCCACCAGGACGAAAGTCTCTGGCCGATGAGTGAGCCTTCTGTTCTAAAGAAAAAATTTGATGAGATTTTCGAAGCCATGAAATACACCAAGGCTATCGAGAACATCAAAGCTCTAAGGAAGAAACAAAACGAAGAGCTTGCAAAATACAAAATTATGGAGCAGCACGCGAAAGAGGACAAGGATAAAGCCGATCGTGCTGAAAAGAGATCGATCAAGCTTCAGGAGGAGATCGAGGCCTTGCGCGAAGAGACACATAAACTCTCGCAGGAGATGCGGCAAGCTGCTGAGTTGGCCGACAAAGCTTGGAAGGAATCAGAGAGCTACGCTCAAATTATCGGTGCCCTGGAAGGAAAGCGTATTGAGGCTAAGAGCATCCAGACGAGTATCGATAACTTAAAGCGGCATCTGGTTGAAGTCGACGAACCAGACGAATGGCTCCAGTCGACTTTGGAGCAGTTCGAGTCTAGGCAGATCCAGCTCCAGAACCAGGAGGAAGAACAGAAGGAAAGGTATATGAATATCAAGGAACAGATCGCGAGAGCCCGGCGACAGCTGGGTTTGAAGCAGGCCGAATGCGGCAAGTTCGAAAATGACAAAGCACAGTTTGAGCGACAGGTGGAAAGAAGGGAAAATATGATCAAGGAAATCGCGCGTCGAAATAATATCCGCGGGTTTGACGACACTCTTGACGAAACCCAGATTGATGAATTCATGCAGAGGATGCGGAAACTTGTCAAGGATCACAACCAAGCCCTAGAGCGCACCAGAAAGGAGGGGCAGGCCGAGCTGCGAGAAACGCAAAATATTCTCAACCAGATTGCACAGCGCAAATCTGCGCTTCAGGAAAGCAAGAATGTTGCAAGAAGGCAAATTTCAGAGTATGACAAAGAGGCATCAAAGTATCAAACCAGACTTGACGAGATCGACGTCGATGAGGGAACAATCGCTGTTCTCGAATCCAAAAAAGAAAGTGTCGAGGCTCGCTTAAGTAAACTCAAAGAGACTGCACGCACTGCTTCTTGGGACAAGGAAATCCAAAATGCCAATGCCGAGCTCAAGTCCCTCGAGGACGAGAGCTCCCGGCTGAACGCAGAGCTCATAGCGGGAACAAAAAAGGACCGGAGATCTAGCTCGCTTGGATCATCTGAAGAAGGAGCTCAAAGATCGCGAGCGTCAATTGGAGACTATGAAGGGAGCACATGGGGATAGGCTGGCCAAGCTCATAAGCCCAAGTTGGCATCCTGAGACTTTAGAGCAAGATTTCCAAAAGACTCTAGAGGAAGAATCTAGGTCTCTGACGCTTGCAGAGCGTGATCGTGATGGAGTTGGAAGGGGGCTGGAACATGTGGAGTTCAAGCTCAAGAACGTCAGGAAAGAACTGAGACAGCGGCAGAAAGAGCTTGACGAATGCGTTAAAAGGATTCGTGAGGCGATCGATGATGAGCCTTCCGAGTATCCTGACGTTGTCAAACAACGCCAAGCACAGCTAGATATGGCTAAAAGGGACGCAGACCAGTATGCTGGGATGGGTGAATATCTCAATAAATGTTTGGAAGCAGCGAAACAGAGAAAGGTTTGCAGAACCTGTGCAAGGCCGTTCAAGACAGAAGCAGAATTCCAGGCGTTCAAAAATAAATTGGAAGCGCTTGTCAAGAAGGCCACCCAAGATGCCGAGGATGAAAATCTGCAGCAACTCGAAGAGGACCTGGAAAATGCGCGAGCAGCTAGTACTGATTACGATACATGGGTTCGCCTGTCTCAGACTGATATCCCGGGCCTTGAGAAGGAAGAAGAGCAATGTGAATCTCAGAGGGAAGGGCTCTTGGCTAAGATCGAAGAACACGACAATATTGTTAGTGAGCGGATGGACAAGAAGAGAGAGGTTGAGTCTCTTACCAAAACGGTGGCGTCGATTGTTCGATATGACGGCGAAATCAAGTCTCTTCGATCTCAAATCCAGGATCTTACTTCGAAACAGCAAGATTCAGATTCTTCACGGACTCTGGAGGACATTCAAGACGAAATTGCTGCCGTTGGAGAGAAGTCTCGGGCTGTCAAGAAAACCATATCGAAACTTACTGCCGAGAAGGACCAGTCGCGAACTGACATAAACAAGCTGGAACTAGAATTGAGAGACGTGCAAAGTAGTCTCGATAACGCTAGCCACCAGTTGGAGAAGAAGTCTGGACTCGTTGCTCGGATCGAAGAGTACAAGAAATTGATTGCCAAGCAGCGGGAGGCCATTGAGAAAGCCGACGAAGACATCGAGAAGCTTGCTCCCGAAATGGCAAAAGCCCAAGCTAGGCATGATGATATCAGTCAACGTGCTGAAGCTAGAGAGAGGGAGCTGCAGCAAACTCTATCGCACCTGTCTGAAAGCCTGCATCAGCTGAACCTTGCAAATGAGGAGATCAAGTCCTACAATGACCGAGGGGGGCCAGATCAATTAGCCAAGAGCAGGAATGACTTGAGAGCGATTGAGGAAGAGATCAACTCCCTCGAAGCAGAACAGGCCAATATCACGCGGGAGATAAACAAAATCTCGGCTCAGTTGAAGGATAGTGAGAATACCAAACGGCAGTATTCGGACAATCTTGCCTACCGCCAGGCATGCAGAGCGCTAGAGCAAGTGCAGGCGGAAATCGAAAAGCTGGAGGCTCAAAACGCAGAGATTGACCGTAATCGCTTTAAGGAAGAATCCGAGCGCTGGACCCGGAAACACAATGCTCTCGCGGCACAGCAAGCAAGCAAGATGGGCGAGATGAAGTCCAAGGATGATCAGCTCATGCAGCTCTTGGCGGACTGGAATACCGATTATAAAGATGCGGCACAGAAGTACAAGGAGGCTCATATAAAAGTGGAAACGACAAAGGCGGCTGTTGAAGACCTGGGTCGATATGGAAGCGCGCTTGACAAGGCCATCATGAAGTACCACAGCCTAAAGATGGAGGAGATTAACCGGATCATCGAAGAGCTGTGGCAAAAGACGTATAGAGGCACCGATGTAGATACCATCCAAATCCGCTCCGACAATGAAAATGCCAAGGGAAACCGGTCTTATAACTACCGTGTTGTCATGGTCAAGCAAGGTGCTGAAATGGACATGCGTGGCCGTTGCAGCGCTGGGCAAAAGGTGCTTGCCAGTATCATTATCCGTCTTGCTCTTGCAGAATGTTTTGGCGTTAACTGCGGACTTATTGCGCTTGATGAGCCGACTACGAACCTTGACCGGGACAACATTCGGTCTCTCGCTGAATCGCTCCACGACATCATTAAGGCTCGTCAGCAGCAGGCTAATTTCCAGCTGATTGTCATTACTCACGACGAAGAATTTCTGCATCATATGCAGTGCGGAGACTTCAGTGACTATTATTACCGAGTGTCAAGGAACGAGAAGCAGAAATCGATCATTGAGAGGCAGTCTATCGCTGAGGTGTGTCTTCTGTTGAGAAATTATATCATTGTATGGACTAACTGACAAGAATAGGTTATGTGATATTGCGTACGATTTTACCTGCCACTCTATTCCGTCTTCCGAGTTTCTTAGGAGGCCAGGGCGGTTGTCCTTGATAGCTTCTGAAAGTTGTTAGTCGAACCTTGGTATTTACGTTATCATTGTATAGATAGAGTGCTCCACTGGAGTTAGGGCGTTCCGGTTATCTGCAGCTGGATATAATGGGAATATAGATGAGAATGAACCACATCGTACAGTACGTTACTCTGGTCTTTACATGTAGTGGCATACGTAAGGAAAAGCACTTGCGTTTTTTTTTTTGAATTCTTTTTCCAACAAAGAAGCAGAGCTTCTTAATGCGTGAGACTAAACTATACGATGTATCAAGGTAAGGGCAGCCGGGGTTTCACAACAAACTACACGGTACAGTGTACCTCATCCCTACAGATCGTCCTCTCCTCCGTCATCACCATCATCATACTCTTCTCCCACTTCCCTATCGTCGTTGTCCTCCTCCTCCTCATCATCGACCAACGGCACAAACCGGAAGTCGACGAAGCTCACGTTGCTGCCGAAGCCGCCACTCGGCAGCGGCACACCTCCCGAAGAAGCTCCATTGTTGCTGTCATTATTTCCCCCGAGCTCGATCATGAATTGCAGACTCAGCACGCCCTGTATGTCGCCGCGAATGCTGACTTTGCTGGCGACGGCCATTGCGCGGGCGGCTTTGCGGATTAGAGAGAAGCGGTAGTTTTGTTTGACGCGACTGCCCATGGATGACGGTGGGTTGACGAGGAAGGTCTCCGTTACTGTAGGAGCGAGCTTGGACTTCTTCTTCGAAGGCTGGGGTCTACCGTCCCCAGTTAGGACTTTGTAATGGGTGTGAGATAGCGAGCTTCCACTGCCCTCGCCGTCTTTTTCTATCGAGAACTCGACGGTGGACTCGCTGAACGGGCCACCAGAGCCAGAGAGTGCAAAGAACGGTTCTCGCTTGGCTGATGCGGAGATCGTGAGGATGTTTGGGTTCGTCGCATCTAGTTCGGTTATGGCATTGTGCAGCCACGCTGATCGCATGATGATCTTCATTATTATCGCATCGCGTTGCAGCGGGATGTCCAGCTCGCCAGCCGCCGAACCGAAGGAAGGATCGTCTGGGTCGTAGGTCGTGAGTTCGCAGGTCGTCGTTACGCCCGCTTCGGAAAGGATGATGCTGAGAGGACTCCCGACATGGGAGTAGCGCAATGTGCATGACCGATTGAGAAGTAAGGCCGGGGTTGTGAAAGCGTCTGAACCTGTGGGGTTCTGTTGTTGCGCACTTGTTGCTGCTGCGAACGAGTTACTACTCGCTGACGTGTTGTTATCGCTGATGCCGAAAATCTGGAGTGTCTCCAGGAGAGCGGAAAGGGAGATCAAGAAATGGGGATATAATACGCCGGCGTCCGAGTCATCATCGTTGTCGTTGTTGTTATTATTGGGGCCGGGAGGTGGGTTGAAGCTATAAGTCGTAAAGAGGGCCTTGTCTAGAAACGCCAATCCCTGCATCACCCGGCTTTCTTCAACGGAAAAGCGAATTCCCTCTGGCGTGATCTGAACAGAAGCCTTTGAGGCGAAGCCAATACACCGCAACAGGGTGTAAAGATGGTTGGCGTTGCTAGAGACAGCGGTGAAAATGGGCTCCATGTTTCAGAAGATCACAAGCCCGTCATAAAATGAATGAATGGATCGAATAGAACCCTAGTATGCGATTTCGGACGGAGAAAGAGTCCGGTCAAGAAAACATTCAAGGATCTAGCAGTAAAAACCCTTCATTGCTCCAGCTTATCATACATTATCATGCGTAACGGTGACTTTGAGGGTGTGATTGCAGTTAAACATAGACCCCAACGGCGCAGATCATGAATACCGCTCCGAAACTATTGAGACTCAGGTCAGCATCTGAAAGCAATTGAGAACATAAGGTCGCGTATGCGCCTACCCAAACGCCAGAGAAGCCGGAAAGCCCAACAGAGGGATATTCAGGAAAGATCGGTCTGAACAGAGTCAGTAAGCCGGATCACTTAGTAGTGAGGGTTCAACGGACTTAAACCGAAGAGGCCAGTAAGGATTAAAGCTGTAAATGACATGTCAGCCGGGTTGCTCCCAGATAGGGAACTTGTCCTCCTACCTGTCAAGAGCAAAGTGAAGCCAACGAAGAACTGGCTGTCTTTTGAGACGAGAGGGTAATAAGGAGCTGTAGAGGCTTCCCAGATCTCGTTTAGAGACATTGAGGAAAGTCTGAGCGACGGACGAAAGAATTGAATAAATTACAGCAAAAGTAACTTTTTGAAGCTCACTGGCACGCAGCTCAGCTCCTCAAACTAGCAATTGAAGGACGAGTAGCTCTTCATCAGCACCTCAATTTCCTATCAACATCCACCAGCAGCGTCGAGACCTCCAACAAGCTGTCCTCTTTGGGTACGTCGCCCGTCGATCGGAGAAATGAAGTTCCGACACTAGTCTCCGCTCTCCACCAATCATCTGGGGTTAGCCCCTTCTTCAGCGCGGAGGCGTCATCAGCGTCCGCCACTGCAAGTGATCACGACATAGCATAGCCATCGGTGTTCCATCAAGCAGAATCGTCACAAAATGTCGTCTGCAGCTGCCAGTGAAGGTAGAACTTGAAGCAATGTTCACGCCCCGAAATCTATGATGCTGATTGAGATGCAGGCATGAAGCGCAAGGCTTCGGAGGAAGCCGATTCCCCAGATTCCAAGCAGCGGAGCAAGAAGGCGCGTACGGAGTCCCCGGAGAGAGAGGCAAAGGTTGGGAAGATAACGCCCTTCTGGAGTGATTGATGGGTTCTGACAGTTTGCAGGATGAACCGGCTGAAGAACAGCCGCTCAAGATCGTTCCCTTCCCTGAGAAGGTATGGCTCAATGCGTTGATATCCCTTGTTCATCACATTTCTACTCTGCAGGTGCTAACATGCGACAATCAGCCTGCCGTTCTCGAGGAACGCCGCGGAGAAATCGAGTTCCGTGTTGTCAACAATGACGGTTCCCGGGAGAGCTTTATCATTCTTACGGGTCTGAAGTGCATCTTCCAGAAGCAGCTGCCCAAAATGCCTAAGGATTACATTGCACGACTCGTGTACGACAGGGCCCATCTTTCCATCGCTATTGTCAAGAAGAATCCGCTAGAGGTTGTTGGGTATGTTTTCCAGGATAGTATTCAACATAGACCTGTCAATTGCTGACGTGAGGCTAGTGGTATTACATACCGTCCATTCAAGGGCCGCAAGTTCGCAGAAATCGTCTTCTGCGCCATTTCCTCCGATCAACAAGTTAAGGGTTACGGTGCACACCTCATGTCTCACCTTAAGGTATATCCCGATACCACAGACATCTCATGCGACGTTATATCTGACGTTTGTCCAGGACTACGTGAAAGCGACCTCGGACGTGATGCATTTCTTGACCTATGCCGATAATTACGCCATTGGTTATTTCAAGAAGCAAGGGTTCACGAAGGAGATCACGCTGGACAAGTCGATCTGGATGGGATACATCAAGGATTACGAGGGAGGAACTATCATGCAGTGTACCATGCTCCCCAAGATCCGATATCTGGAGGCGGGCCGGATGCTCCGCAAACAGAAAGAGGCAGTCCAGGCCAAGATTCGTGCCTTCAGCAAGTCTCACATCGTCCACCCACCGCCAAAGGAGTGGAAGAACGGCGTGTGCAAGATCGACCCTCTGAGCATTCCGGCTATCAAGGAGTCCGGTTGGTCCCCAGATATGGACGAGTTGGCGCGTCAACCGCGCCATGGACCGAATTACAATCAGCTACTGCACCTTCTCAATGATATGCAGAACCACTCGGCGGCTTGGCCGTTTACCCAACCGGTCAACCGTGATGAGGTTCCCGACTACTACGAAGTCATTAAGGAGCCCATGGATCTGTCGACCATGGAAGAAAAGCACGAGAAGGACATGTACCCGACGCCGCAGGACTTCATCAAGGATGCAATGTTGATTTTCGACAATTGCCGGAAATACAACAGCGAGAACACTCCATATGCAAAGAGCGCCAACAAGTTGGAGAAGTTTATGTGGCAGCAGATCAAAAACATCCCGGAGTGGGCGGTAAGTAGTCCACTTTCCATCTTGAATCTGATATCTGGGCACTGACTGTTTGTAGCATCTTGCGGAGGGCCATTGAAAGTAGTAGGGTTTGTTCGATGATTCATAACAGTATAACATTTGTGCGTTTGGAATACCTAATGGCGTTAGGAGGGAGGTCTGTTGCCCAAGAATTATTACCATTGTTGACAGTTTATATAACCGGACAATTTTTCTGTGAATTAAGGAAATTATAGTAGTAAAAGTTGCAACATGATTGTGAAAGTCGCCTGGCCTTGCTTGTAGTGTCTTCACATAGCTGGGAATGTCACCTTTTACACAATGTGCTGTAGTCAATTGAGATTTTTAGCATCAACTTGGATTTCTATGCACTTGACTCTTCTTTTTTTTTCTGCATCTTGCAACTTCCGATCTGTCACATCATCTGAGACATTTTTGGGGCCGTCGAGACTACTGCTGTATATCACGGACCACGTGTGGATGCCGCGTCCGACGTAATTTCGGAATATTGTTTTGGCGCGCCCGGGCAGATCACCGTCCCGTGTGGCTTGTTTCACTGGTCAGGGAGGGCATCTGTGCACCTTGCAGTGCCCAATTTCGACCTGCCCCAGCTACAGACTTTTCGGCTTGCTCGTCGCAGTTGCTGATCAGTCCACTCTCACAGCGTGGTGGCTGTTTTGAAGACGTTCTGACCCCAGGAGACCCTCGAGGGTTCCTGCCCGGGCACTTCTCCATTCACCGTGTTGACGGCCGCATCCTGAACGCAACCGACCCTCAGTCTCTCCTTTATTACCTCCCGAGTCGCTCATTACAAATCGACCAAGAGTCTGTACCTTCTTCGCGCGAAACCCCTTGTCATTCAATCCACAATACGCTGTGGAAGCTGTATCGTCGCCTTTGGGACCAGGGGTTCGAGTGGTTTTATACCTTGATACCCAGCGACCGCACGATACTGTTGATTATTGGATACATGGTGGAAGCATAACCAGTTGAATTTCAATACTGTTTCGCCATGGCTACTACGTCACCTGTTCCAGAGATAGAGCAGCGCAAGCGCTTGCCGACTCTCTTTGAGGTTCTGAGCCGCTACACTCTCGCTCCAGTCGATCTTTTTTCTTTCTACATTTACATGCGTGACCAGCAGCGTGCTGTTGATTATCTAGACTTCTGGTAGGATCTGATGATGCGATTTTGTCTGGCCTGTTTCTAACGTCAGTTGCCAGGCTCGATGTTTCCCAGCACATGTCTCTATGCCGGCATTATGTCCGTGAGCTGCGACGATCGGTTCTCGTAGCCACTCCCGAATTGGAGAAGGCAGGCAGCAAGCGCTCATCAGCTATTCTGGAGAACCTGGGCGATATTCCTTTGACCGAGGCGGGTCCCTCTGGCTTTCGCGGCAAGGATTCGAGCGAGAAAGAGGCCGATCAGAGACTATCTGCCTTTCTACGGTCCGAGAATCAATCTCAGCATTCTCCTCAGGGCAGCCTGGACTCTGCTGCCAAAGTTCCGTCGAACGAACGCCCACCACGTCCCAGCTTCATGAATTCCACTCCTGAAACCCGAAACGACTCCTCAAATTCTCCGGGTCACACCGTGGCCAGGTCCGATATCCGCCGCAGCGCCGAGAAGATCTTGTACACCTATATTCTACCGGGCTCCGAGCGTGAGATTATTCTTCCTGAGGAAATGGTGAATTCAATCATCGATATGGTTGAACGGGAAGGCAGAGATGATCCAGAAGTATTCGATACCGCCAAGGATTATGTCTTTCAGGCCATGGAACGGGATGCTTTCCCTGGATTCTTGCAGGCAAAGGCTCTGGGGAACCTTGTTCCTCTAAGTATTTTGGCACGTTTGGCATTCGCTCTGGCCAGCTTTGGAGGAGCATTCTGGGGCGCCTTCTTCGTGGTTTTGACGGACAAACCAAGGCATATTCGATGCTGGGTAAGCGCGACCTTTGAAAATTTGAAGACAAAGAAACAAAAGACGAAAAGGGAATGTTTGAAATGTTTCTGACTGTTGAGTCTAGGTTATCTTGCCTTTTGCAATTGCGTCGTATTTCATAGCCTCCTACCAATACAAGATCGATCCGATCATGGCACTCCTCGGTTTCAGTGAATACACATTCATGAACTGGGCAAGTATTCGCGAGCCCTATGTCCGCACACTGCTCAATAAGCGCGCCACAGCGACACTGCTGCTAGCAGTTTTTCTTGCTGTCGCCCTTAGCGTTCTGTTCATCTTCGTACCTGGAACGATGCTCTGAACAGACGCCTTCATCCGACCAACTCGAGTTTCCTACTCATTTCCTACGCATTTTTTTTTGTTATCTGCGTTTGGCGTTCGTGGGTCATTTGTTGATTGGTTCATAGCGAAGTGTGGAGAATTGGGTTGCCTTGTTTTGAGTTGGAATATTATCTCAAGCCAGGCGCTTGGTTTGTTGTCAGATACACCTTTTCTTTTCTGTGACAAATACTTCCCGGAAAGTCGCTAGCATCGTTGATATTTCCCCTCGTGTCTCTTCGTCATCTATCTTGTCACTGCCGTCCTTGTCGTTCCTGGCGTTGAACAAATATCCGGTGTCTTTGGACAACAACAACAACCACTGCATCATTATCATCCTCCTCAAGTTCTCATTATTTTCCTTTACCTTGTCTCCCTGTTTCTGCCAACTCATACCCATCTGATATTGCTGCTGTTCAGTGTTCTGTTCACACCATCTCGCCATAGTTTAGGTGCTTGTAGGTAGATAATTTTGGAGCGATGCCGGCTGTAACTAGCCGGACGAGCTGAGCTAGTTCAGGTTCATCCAGCCTGAGCAAACCAATGCAAGTAATAATGCAAGCTTTTGTTCTAAGGCTCTTCAAATTGTAGCTAGAATCATTATCATGACTTGGGGTATTTTTTTTCTTCAGTGTTGACTGCTGCTGCCCAGCGAGACTACTATCAAGATCAAGGCTTGCTAGATCTCCGTCGTCGTCATGATCATCATCACACTTCTTCCCATTTAATTTAATCAGCTTTTCTTTCCCATATTCAGGACCCGCTTGGCCTGTCGTGCAGAACTCCCCCCCGCTCGGGTCGAATGAGATCCTGCTCCTGCGCCCTCGTCAATATCCATCCGCGCGTCCACCCCGCCGTCGCTGTTATTGTCCCAGTAACCGTCATCATCGTCTGCGTCGTCGTCACCACTGAATTCCCGCTTGCTGCCGCTCGGCCCGAACTTCGTTCCCCCTCTGGCGCCGCCGCTGCCACTTGATTGTTGATTATTATTAGACCTGGCACTTCGACCTGCAGCTGCAGCTGCGGCAGATTCTGCGCCCGCTCCGTCGAAGCTATCGCCGCCATCGCCCTCCCAGCCTGCGATGCTCTGCTCCAGCCTCGAGGCTCTCTCTCGCTCTCGTTCGCGATTCTTGGCCGCCTGGGCCTTGATCTTTGCGATCTCGGCTTCGATCCCTCCGATAACGTCTCCACAGCGTCCCTCCCATTCGGACAGGATGGAGATCATCGTGGATACCATCTGCGGCCGAACGTCCCGTAGCGGGGCCACCGATGTCACATGGACGGTTGGTGGGTTGGTAGCAGGCGAGAGACGAGCGGTGATGAGCGAAGAATAGATCGCGGTGGTCACTAGCGACTCGAGTTCAGCAGGGGTCGAGATCGACAGCGCCTTCATCAGCGACTCGTAAGTAAGCGGTCGGAGAGTGCTGGCGAGGGTGAGAAGAGAGAGTAGGCGGAGTTTGAGAGTCTGTTCTTTATTCAGAGCCGGTAGATTGGGGGTTTCTGCAGAATACAATTAAATTAATAGATTTTATTAGTTAATCGTGTTCACCGTATAGCCGGCTATCTATACGCAGTCCAAACTCACCTTGGTATTCCTGCCATGTGCCCCAAGCGAAAATCTCAAGTAGTCTCAGGTACCCTCGAAATTCTTCAGGGGTCTCTGGCGACCGCAGAGCTTGGACGGCTGGAGTCTCCAAAAGCTCCGCAAAGACGTACGTATGTGGGCTGGACGTGGCATTGGTGATTATGTTTGCGACGAAGCGAGGGGACGATGCGGTGGACGAGGTCGCAAGGTGTATGAACGGTTGAAGAGCCTCAAGGGCCCGCGTTTGCGCCTGGTCCATGTTTCTCTTATCTTATATTGTATGGCGTCTCGTCATGAGCAAATGTCTGGATAATGCAAGCCTGTAAACAGTCAGTTTATGTACACATGAGCTCTAGTTTAGTAATGGTTGTCGGGAAGGTTCTAGTACCAAGTAAATTCAGATTGGGATAGATTGACGTTATAAGCTAAGTCCTTGGGTGATTTCAAACGTCAGAACAGCCGTAGTTTGGTATCGAGACGGTGGGAAGTGGAGGAGGACATGGGGTGATAATGGTGGTGGTGGTTGACTGATGGATGGTTGAGGCTTGTTTGCATCCCGTACAAACAGCATCCCCGCTGATAAATGTCTATCGGCGGTAAAGGACGAGGCGTTCAATCTACACAGTAGTGTTACGAACTATACATTCAGCTTCAGCAAGGGCTTGCTACCTTGTGAGCTTCCATCCTACATTATCATTGTACAGTTGATGTTTGGTCCGCCAGGGTCCGTCTTTTCTCACTTCTCTACACTGGAGCGTTTCGAAAGTGGTGGAGTACAGCAGACATCGTAACAGGCTCATGTTTGGTATTGGAATTCTAGCAGCCTTGACTCCAGCAGGCCCGGATACGCGGTGGAATGAATACGACAACACTATTCATTCTGCGCGGATTTTAGTAACAATAACAGCGAGGAAAAGAGAACGCCTGCGTAGCAGCAAATAGTACTCCGTACGAAGTACGGAGTACTTAGCTATAACCAACGAAGGGATCCCCACTCGTGTTGATAATAGATAGCATACGGAGTATGCCAAAAAGGCGATAGTGCTGAGACCTCATTTAATACTACCTACTAAGGCAGTGATGCTACCTTGAAATATCCAACCTGTTTTCGATACGGCGTCGGCGTTTCGAGCCATGCCGCAGGTTGAGTTTCATCGCTGCCTCAGGGAAGTAGGGACGCAAAACCGAGAGTTGTCCGCCTAAGAGCTTCAGCGGTTAAAATCGAGGCTGGTAGCTCTCTTGTGTTCTTTCACGAAGAGTTATCTTCCCGCTGCGTCTTGTTCGATAGCTCTCTGCGAGAGCTATGGACGCCTGACATTCCTGGGGGCGACTTGGGGGCCGGATTGATAATCACGGGAAACGTCTCCGGCGCGCGTTTCTGTTCAGGCAACCAACCTCAGCCGCGACCTCGTTCTGCCAGAGATCCTGGGCGTTTGTACGACCATTTCCTTCGTTTGTCTTGACAAAGTGCTGGTTCTCTCTTGTTCTTGGGCTTCGCTGGATAGTTGACAGACCGCATTCCCCGCCGCCTGTGTAACCCTTGCGACTTCCGGCGCATCCGTAATCACCGAACCGAAAAAACGCGGCCTCTTACGTGGAAGAGACCATCCCTTCGAAGCTCCTGTGGACAACGCAAATGCGCTGAAAACGGCTACCTGCCCTCTCATATATCCATTTGGATATAAAAAAACAAACAAACAGCAGACGCGATGGCGTCGTCGTCCTTTGATGAAGAACTCGAGTCTGGAAGGTGGAAAAGAGCCGCACATATGGCGACCACAACCCTCAAAGTGGATGGCATGACCTGCGGCGCATGCACCTCCGCCGTCGAAGGCGCTTTCAATGGCGTCGAAGGGGCAGGATCGGTATCTGTGAGCTTGGTGATGGGTCGAGCGGTAGTGCATCACGACCCGGTTGCATTGCCGCCTGAGAAGGTCGCTGAAATTATCGAAGATCGAGGGTTCGATGCGCAAGTTCTGTCGACAGACATGCCGAGTGCCTCGAGCGAGGAGGCAGGTCTGGAGGGTACTCGCTCGCAGATTTCGACGACGACCTTGGCGGTGGAAGGGATGACTTGTGGCGCTTGTACGTCCGCCGTGGAAGGAGGCCTGAAAGATCTGCCTGGCGTCAAGTCCGTCAGCGTATCTCTTCTCTCAGAACGCGCAGTCGTAGAACATAATGCGTCCCTGGTCACTCCAGCCCAGATTGCAGAGGCCATTGAGGACCGAGGCTTTGGTGCTACCGTGCTGGACACGAAGACTCCTGAGTCATCGGCCGTGGCTTCGGACACGGCAGGAAATAAGGCCCAATTGATGTCAACGACGGTCTCCGTGGAAGGGATGACATGCGGAGCATGCACGTCAAGCGTCACAAACGCCTTCAAGGACGTTGAAGGAGTGGTTCAATTTGACATCAGCCTGCTGGCGGAGCGAGCAGTTGTTGTTCATGATCCCCAGGTCCTACCGCCGGAGAAGATTACTTCAATCATTGAGGATGTTGGGTTTGATGCTCGTGTGATCAATTCGACACCACAGGTGGCTGCCTCACAGTCCTCCAAATCCGTTCGTCTTTCCATATACGGTCTCCGTGACGCAGCTTCAGCAACCTCCCTGGAGGATCTTCTACGGCAGAAGAATGGTGTCGCATCTGTCTCGGTAAACTTTTCTACGTCCCGCGCCAACGTCGTCTACAATCCTACCGTTGTGGGGATTCGGTCACTTGTGGAAGCTATCGAGGAAGCAGGATATAACGCTTTGGTCTCAGACTCGGAAGACAACAACGCCCAGCTCGAGTCTCTCTCAAAGACTAAGGAGATTCAGGAGTGGAGGCGGGCCTTCTGGTTTTCCCTGTCATTCGCCATCCCTGTTTTCCTCATTAGCATGATCTTCCCCATGTACCTTCACTTCCTGGATTTTGGCAAATTCCGGATCATTCCAGGCCTCTATCTCGGTGACCTTGTCTGCCTGTTACTTACGATTCCCGTACAATTCGGCATTGGAAAGCGTTTTTACGTGACCAGCTACAAAGCGTTGAAGCATCGCGCCCCTACTATGGATGTTCTCGTGATGTTGGGGACCTCGGCGGCGTTCTTTTTCAGCGTGTTCACCATGATTGTGGCCATATGCAGTCCGCCTCATACGCGTCCAAGCACTGTATTTGACACTAGCACCATGCTCATCACCTTCATTACTCTTGGGCGATGGCTGGAAAACCGGGCCAAGGGCCAAACATCCAAAGCCCTGTCCCGTCTGATGTCCTTGACTCCGTCAATGGCTACAATCTATGAAGATCCCATAGCCGCAGAGAAGGCTGCTGAAGAGTGGAGCGCTTCCGAAGAAAAGGGCAATACATCGGCGCCGTCTCAGACACAGACTGTTGGCCAAAAGACCATCCCCACCGAGCTTATTCAAGTCGGCGATATTGTCGTTCTACGACCTGGTGACAAGGTGTCTGCCGATGGCATTGTCATTCGCGGAGAAAGCTACGTCGACGAGAGTATGATTACAGGAGAGGCACGTCCAATCTATAAAAAGAAAGGCAGTACGGTCATCGCGGGAACCGTCAATGGTGCAGGATCGATCGACTTTAAGGTGACACGTGCTGGCAGTGACACACAGTTGAGTCAGATCGTCAAGTTGGTGCAGGATGCACAGACAAGCCGAGCTCCGATTCAACGCATGGCCGACGTGGTGGCTGGCTACTTCGTGCCCGTAATTATAGCCCTGGGATTGCTCACATTCGTCGGCTGGATGATTCTTAGCCACGTCCTTCCTCACCCTCCCAAAATCTTTGTCACCGAAGGCAATGGAGGCAAAGTGATGGTATGCCTGAAACTATGCATCTCGGTCATCGTCTTTGCGTGCCCGTGTGCTCTTGGCCTCAGTACACCTACAGCAGTCATGGTCGGCACTGGTGTGGGTGCGGAGCACGGAATTCTCGTGAAAGGAGGTGCTGCACTCGAGGCGGCAACCAAGGTCAACCACGTCGTTTTCGACAAAACGGGGACATTGACCGAAGGCAAGATGAGCGTGGCTGAGGCGAGACTAGAACCAACATGGTCATCGAACGAATGGCGCCGTAAGCTGTGGTGGCTGATTGTTGGCCTTGCGGAGATGAGCAGCGAACACCCCGTAGCCAAAGCGATCGTGACGGCAGCCAAGGAGGAGAATTCGCTCGCCAGCGGAGATACCCTAGATGGCAGCGTGGGTGACTTCGAGGTTTCGGTGGGTAAAGGCGTATTCGCGACTGTCGAGCCAGCGTCGGGCGTCGAGCGCATGCGTTACCGGGTCCTCCTGGGAAACGCTGTCTTCCTTCGTGACAACCAAGTCAAGGTGCCTGAATGGGCCGACCCCAGTTTACAGGCTCCAGATGAGGCTGCCTCTGCGGTTTCTGTTTCTTTGAGGCCCAATGAAAAGACTGGGTTGACGCAGATCCACGTCGCCATTGACGGACAATACACTGGTACCATTTCTCTTCGAGATGCCTTGAAGCCAAGTGCAGTAGCTACTATTGCGGCTTTACATCGCATGGGCATGTCGACCTCTCTCGTTACAGGTGACACGTACCCCGCTGCCCTAGCCGTTGCTAAAGCAGTTGGAATCCCTGCGACGTCTGTCCGTGCTGGTGTCTCTCCCGCTGAAAAGAAGTCGATTGTAGCTTCTTATCAGGCATCTGGGGACCGCGTCGCCATGGTGGGAGATGGCATCAATGACTCTCCCGCGTTGGCGACTGCGTTTGTCGGCATTGCACTTGCTTCTGGCACCGACGTTGCGATGGAGGCAGCTGATGTCGTGCTGATGCGGTCCGACGACCTCCTGGCCGTGCCCGCCAGTCTGTCGCTTGCTCGCACGATCTTCAACCGTATCAAGCTGAACCTGATGTGGGCTTGTGTATACAATGTTATCGGCTTGCCCTTCGCCATGGGACTCTTCCTCCCCTTCGGCGGAATTACTCTCCACCCGATGGCGGCCGGTGCGGCCATGGCTGCGTCCAGCGTGTCTGTGGTGTGCAGCAGTCTGCTTCTCAAGTTCTGGCGTCGCCCACGCTGGATGACTGTGGAACGGTTGGAGAAGGAGGCCTCGTTGGGTCTGACGAATCCACCGGAAACTGGGAAGACACGGTGGAAGAAGAGTCGGTTTTCAGGCCACTCCCGGACGCGCAGTGTGCTGTTGGGAAGCCTCCATGACTACCGCACCAGGATCACGCGCGCCGTGTTTGGCAGGCAATCCAGACAAGCCAGAGAGGAGGAAGGATACGTGCCACTGCAGACGGTGGAGCCATAACCGTAGCCGTAAACCAAGTTATCCATTCCCCCTCCTTTGTACGTTTTCTACTGTTGCATTTTCTCAGTGTACAGTGTACACTCGATCGATGCTCCTTATTATCCCCCTCGACTTTTCATGACTTATGCGTCTTCCAGCGATAGTGATACCTTGATACCTTGATACCTCTTTGTTTGCCTGTCCTTTTACGTGCTGGTTACAAATGCACTGTGATTCATGATCCCACTCGTGTATGTATGCATAGCTAAGGAGTTGGAATATAGCATAATATCTCGTTATCTTAGAGGCCTCCTTACATACATCCGTAATGTAATACAGCAATATCGTGATAGCCATCAGCCTACCTATCTACCGAATAAAATAGGTAATAGCCATCAATGAATTCCACATGCCGATCAATGAATGACCTAAAAAAAAAGGTGAAAGAATGGATTATTCAATTAACAACTATTCCTCGATACCCAAAAAAGCCCCTGACTCGTGCGTTTGTTCTCATAAAAAGTACTACAGTGTAGGGGAGTAGAAGAGTAGTACAACGTATGATTCCATAGTCCATTGCCCATACATATTGTAGTCCCTGGACTCCTAGCTTTAATATGTAATAATATATGTATGATATTGATATAATATGATATGATCTCCTGAATTAAATTAAAAAAAAAAAGAATAAATGGATGGATAGATAGATAGTTCACGTATCCCATATGTAACTCCCAATCCCAGTCCAATTAAGAGGAAATTCGAAGGAAAAAAAAATAAAAATCGAGGTATCGTTAAACTTGCTTTGATTTCTCGTAGAAAATGAAACGTGCTCGCATGTCTGTGTCTTCTTTTGCTTAGCTACCCGACCTGCCTTCCTTCCTACCTACCTAATTGGTAGGCTTTGTTGGTGGAGGCGGAAAGTATGGCTGTGGCTGGGGCATGGGTTGCGTCTGAGTCTTGGTCTGCGTCTGGTCCGGCGTCGATACGACCGGCCGCTGCGGATTCGGTGTGCTGAAGTGATTGCGAAGAGGGAGATCCGACGACGACCCATCTGACACCCGGTTGAAAGCTGGGGTACGGGGAGCCATGGGTGAGATGGGAGAGAAGGGAGGCGCATAATATCCCGTGTACGCGGCGGCTGGCGTCATGGGGAGCCCATATGCCGCCGGGGACTTCAGGATCTCGTCGTACTCGCGCAGGGCTTGCTCCTCGGCTTCCTTCTCGGCGCGCTTCTCCTCCTTGCGCTGGCGTCGCGCTTCCCGTTCTTCTTTGGTGGCGAAACAGGAGATGACGGCGAGGACGAATTGAGTAAAGTAGATAACACTGGTAAAAAAAAAGGTCAGTTGAATAGAATTTCAGGAATAGGAGAAAGATGTGTCGCACCAGGCAATGACCGTCACCGCAAACAGAGACTTGGCTTGTTGGCAATACCCAATATTACTCTTGTAATATGCAACATTGCAGTTCTTGGTAATGTACCACGGCGGCCCCGGTTGCGGGTGACGAGGGTCGGTCATGTCGCTCCCGGCCTGGAATCGAGCGGACACGATGTAAAGAGCAGTCAAGCTGCCATGGACGATGGCGGATAATGGTGGGTGGAAGACCCTCAGAACATGCATTGGGGCCTTAGTCAAGAGCAAGAATGTGCTCAGGACACCGATAACGAGGTTGTAGTTCGTTAGACTGGAACTTAAGTCAGCGACCTGCTTCCTTTCTACATACAGCTCAAGCTCCAGACATACAATGCACTCCACACCATGGGAACTTTGTATGATCGGCCGTTGGTCAGGGCGTAGACGATCTGGTTTGGGGCACTGTTGAAGCCGTTGTTGGCTCCATCTTGCCAGAGCTTGGTCGTGTAGGTGTTATGGGAGGCAATGCCAGTGAGGATGAGAATCACCAGGACGAAAGGGAATTCGGCGGCCATCAAGTACAACACCGCCTTGTATGTACGGTATTTCCTTGGTATGAACACCATGGTGGCTGTGAGGAGTCTGAGGACGGTGAAGCGCTGCGTTTAGCTGGAGCTTCCAAAATTCAAACACTACCGGACTCAGTGTTTTATCTCTAGAGATAATGACAGATGGCGAGATGTCGAGCGCAGTCCTCTAACTGCGCTTCATGCCAGTCCGGCTGGCTAGGAATTCATATCGATATTCTCAGCAAAAGTCGAGTGTCTCGAATCAAGCTTCGGAGAGAGCAGATCATTATGAAGCCCAGGCGGGCTGGACTGCAAAGAAAAGGGCACGACACGGCCATTCTGCCGCCCAGCACGCCCGGGATTGGAGAGGGGTCGTCGTCGAATGCAGCGAAGGCCATAAGCGCCGAGTGCCATGGGATGCAGGTGATGGGCTGCTTGTCAACGGCCGAGCGCCAGTGAGCGCGCAGAATCGCGTCGTTGCTCGCTGCGGAGATGTGATGGCGGCGCGGAGATCGCCAATGAGCGCCGGCAGAAGCGCCTTTCGCTGCAGCCCGTCACACCCGAACTGCATAACTAGCTCGCACGAGAGATGAGTTGCAATCGATCTGCTGTGCCGCAGTGGGGTGTTCCAGATTCTCGTGCACTACGGAGTATGTCCATAGCTCAGTGTGTATCTGCCAGGGTGGATTAGTGAGAGAGTGATGTATTTCTCAGTTGTTTTCTGCGGAGTACAAATCGACAGCCCGACCAATGAGAAACATCGCATCTACAAATCATCGGATCTCAGGTCATTGGACCATGAGGGAAGAAGCAGCGATTAAATTATTTCATTATTGTTATTGAGAAATCAGAATAGAGAATAAGCCATCTGCTGTACTGATAAAATCTATCCATGTCGAGTCTGAACTGCGGACTCGATGGAGGTGTTTGAGGGCGACGGAGATCAACTCCGACGTCATGGCCGTCACCACATCCGTCATCAAACTCTCCGCTATACTGTACAATAACGCATTCCCAGCATGGTCGTGAACGAACAAAGGACAGTGCCGGTTATCGTGTACAATATTTCCAACCTGCATGGGATATAACAGGACCCGAATCCTGGTGTGGAATCCATCTCACAGACTGCGCATCTGTTCTACTACTATCTTGCTGCGGGGAGGACTTCTATCCCAACAGCATCACCGCCGCCTGGGATTGTCGACCCAAGGACAACCACGCGACATGAGCCCCAGAAAAGATTGCATTCCGCATGAGCTGCGCACCGCTGCTGAGCCGCGCCAGAACAAGCTCCACACGGTGCGCCTGACGCATATTGAGCAGATCAATCCGACCGTCCGTCTGCTCCGGCTGACGCTGCCTTCCTCATCAACGTCGAGGGATGAAGTATGACATTCCCTGCATTCGATTTGGGTTTTCATATCCTCTTTCCTTTGCGTTTCTTCTTTCAACGGTTTGATGATGTTATCTTGAGATCTTTGACGACCTGTTTGTGATATCCGATTGCCGGGTTTAACGTAATATCAGTATATTCTTGGATGCTGCTCCTATTCTCTTTAATTTTTAACCATATCTCCCATATCAAGTTCAATCGCATGAATTACGAATTTCAAACTGACTTCTGTTCACAGTCGAGTCAACAGCACCAAGAACCCTTCGCCTTCCTCCCCGGCCAATGGCTAGACGTGCACATTCCCTCGATCCCCCAGGCCGGCGGATTCACCATCACTTCCACACCCGCAGACGCCCAGTTTCTTCCGTCCCCGGAGCCAGTGCTCCAGACGGGTTCAGACCCGCGGTCTACAGACGCAGAGGGCATTGCGCCCACCGACGCCCCCAGTGGGAGATTGCCGTATGTGGAGCTGGCGGTGCAGAAGGCCCCGTCGAGCCCTCCAGCTGCATGGCTCTGGAGGCCGGAAGAGGAAATCATGGGGAAGGAGTTGAATGTCCGCGTCGGAGGCAGCTTCATCTGGCCCCCGACCGATATCGCGATTGATCAGATCCGCAATGTTGTCTTTGTGGCGGGCGGAGTGGGCATTAAGTGAGTCTGCCGATAGGGCAAGATGAATGCATATGTGTATAGAAGGAAGTCAGTCTGCTAACGAATCCAATTTTCTCGGGAAAAGCCCTCTCATCGCCATGCTCTCCCACCTCAGTGAAAGAGAGTCCTCTGACGCGCCCACTTCCCTACCCCTGCCGGACAAGAACCGGAACGACCCCCTGTCAATCCACTTCCTATACTCGACTCGCCTTCCATCAGAGAAGACAACATCATCTTCCGGCCATCAGCAAGGCAGGACCGACCTCAACCATTCCACCCTCCGCCAGATCCTCTTCCTGCCGCGACTGCGCCAGATCGTCCAACGCGCATCCTCGCAGCCCTCCAACCTGCACATCTCCCTCGACCTGTTCCTCACCAATCTCCCTTCCAACGCATCCGCGGCCTCGGCCGTAAAGATGCTCAGGGACGGAGACAGGGAAGGAGACGAGGACAAGGACGGGAACATCCGCGTGTACCCGAGACGCATCACCCACGACGATCTCCAGACCGCCGCTACGACCAACACCAGCGGTAGCGACGAGGTCATACCGCCGGAAAACACGGTCTGCTATGTATGCGGTCCGCCGCCGATGACGGATGGATTTGTAGAGTTCCTGCGCGGAATCGTCGGGGAGAAGAGAGTGTTGTGTGAGAAATGGTGGTGACGGTGTGTTTTTTTTTTGTTCGGCAAACTCTATCAAAATTTTGATTGATAATAGAATAGATGATTTGATTGATTATTCCTTTCATTAAGATACGAAAGATAGACATATAGAGAAGACAAGAAAGAAAGAAAGAAACAACAAGTCAACATTTTAATCATAACAAATGAGGAGAAAAAACCGTGTCCATGGTCCTGTTTCCTAGAAGGAAAAAAAAAGAACAAAAAAGAACAACACAATAGAACTGCAGGATGTAAAGATACACCGACCCGTCCCTACATCCATCCATCATCCGTACGTATATACATACGTACGTACGTAACAACGCCCGTCACGCACACCAAGACGCTAAAATTCCAAGTCGATGAATGATTAGAGATCTTAATTAATGACTTCCGCCCTGGCTCTCTCCAACCCCCTTCACCGCCGCTCCATCCACGATCATCATCTCGTCGACGCGGGATTCCGTATCTCCCCACTCCAGCCGTTTGTACGTCACCACCCGGCCAGGACCCATGTCGAGCTCAAAGAAGCGCATCCGCCGCACGTAACCCCCATATCCCCCGTAACCGCCAAACCCGGCGGCGCCACCGTAGCACATCCACAGGTTTGGTTTCCCTTTGTCATCTTTCTCGAGCATGCAGTAATCATTCACGTGGTCGCTGAAGAAAACATGTCAGCAACATGTTTGACTCACTTGCGTTTGTTCTCAACTTACTGTCCACAACTAACAAAGAGGACGTTCTCCTCTACGAGGGCATCTTTAAATCCCGAGTTGAATCCCGGAGCCGTCGGCGCTTCCGACCAGTTTCCTCTCCAGTAATTGTCCGAGTTGCGGTACTCTGGAAGTGGAATGTGGATGAACGCCATGTTCATGTGCATATGCGTGTACTGTTCGTGTTTCTTCCGCAGGCTCTGCGCCTTGTTCTTGAACCACCTGATCTGGCTGGGTTTCAGCCAGTCGTAGCCCCGGAATTGGCGCTCGTCCGGTGAGTACGAATGCGTATCCAGTAGATAAAGCGTCAGCGCGGAATGTGTAGAAGAGGACTGGCCCAGGACTTCGACAATGTAATTGCCGACGCCATCTACTTCTTCTGGACCGGCTGACGACAAGGAATACGGGAGCTCCTCCATGATGGCCATGAGCTCCTCCCGACTGAGATTGCCCTCGTCGTCATGGTTCCCGAAAATGGCCGCGTACGGGATCTTGCGATCCACGAGGGGCTTCACGAATTTGAAGAGTGCGCTCTGCGCATCTCTGGCAGTTTCGCCGTTTACCTGATCTCCCGTGAGAACAACGAGATCCGGCTTCTCCTCGTCCAAGAGTCTCTCTACAAAGTCCAAGGTACGGGGATCCGCGTCGCATCCCTGGCCCGGGACGAGTTCCTCGGGAACCGGGTCCCGGCACTTCCCAAGGCCGGTGCTGAGGTGCAAATCGGCGGCCTGCATAATCTTAAACCGCCCGTTTTCATTAATCCTCGGGACGGGCTTTTTGATCTTGGGTGGGACCCCTCGACGGATCGTCAGCCGCGCCTCCTGGGCCTCGGACCTGCTATCCAGGAGGAGCGGAGTACTCTTCAACTCCCACTGCGGACGCGGGTCGACAGCATCAGCGCCAAAAAGAACGTCCACCGAAGTGAGGACCTGCTCTGAATCGCTGGCGTGGCGCTCAGCGCTCCGCTTCAGCCAGATCCCGCCGGGTCTGGATTCCCATTCTTCGGCCTGCTTGGTTCCATCTTTCGCAGCTGCCCCGGCTGGATTGAGACGGCTAACCCGGAGATCAACGACGACCTTGTCATTTTCGAGAAGTTCCTCCTCTCTCTTTCTTTGGAAGTGCAGGTAGGCACCCGACGTCCAGCTTGAACCCAGGTAGAGGTCTTTGTCGACCTTGTGCCACACCGCCGGATCAAGGGTGCAGCTGGAGAAGATGTTTAGTGCCGAACATGTGGCAATGGTCACATCCGTGACGACAAAGCCGGGATAATGGGTAGGAAGGTGGCTATGGACCGCAGCTGGTAGCACGCGGAATCTATTGTCAAGGAACAGGACCAGGAGGAAAGCAAGGAAGGCAAGGATACCGAGCTGGATGCCGGTTCGGACCTATGGCACATCGATTAGTCTCTTCTCACTACACAGAGAGCGGATTCAGGACGTGTACGCACAATGCGGCGAGTCATCTTTGGCCTGAAGCCGAGGGTCGGAATATGGACGTCGGCGGCCTAATGTTATGTAGTAAGGTCGCTGGCGGCCCTGTGGGCATGATGCGGAGATTCCAGGGCGGTGGGAAGGGCACCCCAGGGCGAGACCTTAACGGCAGTCGATTTCGTCTTTCAGCTCCTCTGCAGATCGCCCATCGTCCCGAAAAAACAAAAGAAGACACGAGATAGACTGCTTTGCGCGCTCAGGCAAGCTTTCTCCAGGACCAACACTTCAGTGTCTGGGGAAGCGGCGGTCACATGCGCGCTAGCCTCGTCTGGGCAAGCTAAACTTAATTCTGATTACGTAATGCGTCGATCACAATCATGAAGTATTCAGCAGATTCAAACACAACCATATACTATCATTATCGTGTAGATACTGCTCTCAAGGAATTTACGGTGTTATGAGAGGGGCAATAAGTAGATGTCTGCACTGTCATCAGTCCAATGAAGTCAGGTCGGCAGGTCGATTTGCTTTGCTGTCTGTCAAGTTTCAGCTGTGTCAAGTTTCAGCTGGGATCTGGTGAAATCTTGCAAATTAATACGTCAATTTGATACATGTAAGCTACCTTGCAATTCTTCCGCCGAGCTTGCACAGAAGATTAGATTTTGGCGAGGTCTTTGTGCTTTGATCAGATAACCTACTTGTCTTTTTGTCCTACCGAGCTTTAATGT